CCTCTAAGTAGGTTGTCAGCTCCGCGAAAGATGTTGGTGCGCTCAATTTGCTCCGCAGTTGCTTGTTTGGTCAGTATGATTTAGACGTGTATTGTTTGGTATGGCGGGGCCCTATCCCGACCTTTATGATATTATGTATTCTTAGAGGCTTGTAGACATATGTCATGTACGTAAAAGATTGTTTGGCCTTGTCGGCATATGTTTAGTATACGAGTGATCATTTTGGTCTTATATGCTCGTATGTCTTATGCATAAGTTGGTATTACATGTTTTTTTCTAGCTATCCTACGGCAGCCCTTCCGCCTCATACCTATGATAGCATGATATGAAAAGATACGTTATATTGGTACTCGGTTAAGTAAGGTACCGGGTGCCCGTCGCGGCCCATCAGTTTGGGTCGTGACAACATCTCTAGGTAAAAGTCACAAAATTAAACTTCTAATCAAATTCTTTACTTGTCCAATTTTTTTGTTTGTTTTTTCCTTCGATACTAATTTATTCCAGCAAAAAAAGTTTAAATTTATTCTTACATTATGTTAATTTATTTAATTAGATTATTCAGGTATGCTTAAATATCTTATATAAATGCTTATACCTACCGAAGTTTCTATTGATTAATTCTAAACAATTGAAATTTTATTCTTATACTATTCGAAATTGAATAACTTTGTCCTCGTTAAGTTCCTACTCTAATATTGACGTATTAGGAAAAGTCTCATTCTTTCTTGTGATCTATAATGGCGCTTCAATTTGAAAAGATATTTTATATTATAATTGATGGATATAAATTATTCATGTAATTTCATATGTAAAAAATAAGTTTTTAAAATAAAATATGAATAATAATATCCTATTCTCGCATATTTTCTAACAAATCTTGTAGGAAAAAGAAATTACGAAAAAGAAGGAAAGAAGCTAAAGGACAAGAGAATGAAGCAAAGCCACAGTTGCACACGTCATCTTCATATTCGCAAATGTGGAATATACATATGGGTTTATGGAAAGAGACAATTAGAGATGAAAATTAGTATAGTTGCATATGTGGAATTTATATACGCACTGTCACATTCGCATACATGGAACCTACATTTGCAAGGCTAACCTATGAAGTCATGAATGAAAACAAAAGAGCTATAAATGCATATGTGGAATCTATATACGCAAATGTCACATCTGCATATATGGAACCTACGTTTGCAAGTCTAACAAGTCAAGAATGGAAGCAAAAGATTCATAGATGCATACGTGGAATCTATATTTGCAAAGGTCACATTCGCATACATGGAACCTACATTTGCAAGACTAACTCGTGAAGTCAAGAGTGAAGCACAAGTGCCATAGTTGCATATATTGAATCTACGTACACAAATGTCATTTCGCATACATGGAACTTACATTTGCAAGACTAACTCATGAAGTCAAGAGTGAAACACAAGTGTCATAGTTGCATATATAGAATCTACGTACACAAAGGTCACTTCGCATACATGGATTTCACATTTACAAAAGTGGAACATGACAAAAGCTACTCATTTTTTTCTATATATAGCAAGCTCTCTTTGTATAAGGATATCCAATCTTTGTAAGACAAGAACTAGTCTTAGTTAGGGGTGTTCATGGTTCGGTTTGGATCGATTTTTCCCTAAAAAAGACCAAACCAAGTAAGTCGATTTTTCAAATATTAGAACCAAACCAAACCAATTAAGTCGATTTTTCTCGATTCGGTTTATGTCGGGTTTTGTCGGTTTTTCGGTTTGTCGGTTATTTGTCGGTTTTTTCTTAAATATAAGACATACACTACCAAACACATATTTCGGCGACCACATTTTCAACGTAACACTATCAAATCAATTGCCCTTTGAGAAATCTATTATCTACCAAGATATATTGATGATAATTGAATCAAATAGTGATGAATAATTTAAGGACTCAACTAAAAATATATTATTTTTAACACGAAATAGATTCTTACACTTAACAAAAGAAAACTACCAATCAAACTAAAATGTAAAGGTAAAGAACTATACTAAAAGTGCAAACTATTAACATTTATCATAAAAATTTTGAAACTTTGTATAAAAATATACATATATATAGGTGTAATAATAAATTTGAAATAGCTACTCCTATAGTCGGTTTGGTTCGGTTTTTTTCGATTTTATTATGATTAAAACCAAAACCAAACCAAATTTGATCGGTTTTTAAAATTCAAAACCAAAACCAAACCAAACCAAAAAGTATCGATTTTTTTGGTCGGTTTGGTTTGGTTTTCGGTTTGGTTCGGTTTTTCGGATTTTTATGAACACCCCTAGTCTTAGTCTTCATTCTTTGTAGTAAAAGTATTTCCTTAGTCTTTTAAATATTTCTAGTCTTTTAGATATCTTTTTTAGCTTTTCTTACTCCATAATGGAGTAATTTCTTTTTGTTGGGATAGTTGATGAAACTTGATATATTTTATAATATTATCTTAGTTTTTACATATTCTTGGCTTGAAACTTTTTATTTACATTTCATACTGTGCTGAAATGATGGTTTTTAATTACTCTATCATCACAATCTATATATTTTATCTCTAAGTTATTCATATATTAATTTTATAATTCTCGCGGAGCAAAATTAATATATAATAACTGATGAATAAAATAGCAGTATGAATGTAATTTTTCAGTAAACTATTATTTCAAGCCAGTAATCTTGCTTGCCTCAGTTTTAATTCTCACGGAGGAATTGTTGTAGGCAAGATTATTGATCCTTGGTAAAAATATTCTCACGAAATTTTTACTTTCTTTTAGCAAAATTCAAGCAAGAAAAATATTTCGGTTTAAACGTCACTAGTCTTAAATTGATTGATTAACATAATTCTCACGAAGTGTTATTAATTGATTATTTCTTAGTGAGCAAAATATAATTGTATTAGAAATAAGTAATTATTCTTTAGAGAAATAAATGTAAAAATTGAGATTTTATTATAGTAATATTATCAAGTGAATTCAATAATTTCCAACTCTTTTTTTCAATTATAATTCTTCCAAAAGTTATTTGTTTTGTTTAAGCAATTAACACGTTTTAAACCTCACTCACTTTTCATCTATTTGATTCTCTCAAATAGTAGTTAAAATATTATAAGTCTGTAGTATAGAATATCTAGTCTCCGTGGGACGATATCTTAAACTATATTAGAATTTTACAGAGGACGAGTAGGACATTCCAATTCACATTAGCCTCGTCAATGATAAAAGTTAAAAGATAGATTTGGATTTTTTTGAAGTAATTTGGAGACAGCGAAGCTTCGTTAATAGCAAGGTCAAATACATGATAATTCGCTGATGACAAGAATTTGAATCGATTTAATGAAATGCAACATTGAGAAATAGTACGGCTGTACGGGGCAAACCCATTTTTTTCTTTAATGATTGTTAAAGTAAATTTTTCCTGTAATAATAAAATTTGAGTCGTCTTTTTCACTTCTGATTTTTTTTATAATTTTTCTTTGAACCGAGGACTGCGTACACACCATCCTATTTGTAAGATTAAAGTAATTTTTTATTGTTGTGATTGTTGTTGTACTATATTCTTCTATAATTTCTAGAAGCACATTTTTTAGGACCAAAATTTTTTTCCCAAAATAATTGGAAGAAGGCTTTTCGTATATTTAACAAAACTGGATAAATAATTTCAAAATTTTTTCACTGTTTTTTAAAAGAGAAACTTTCAGAAACCATTATGTTTTAGTGTTTATTAGCTAGTTGTAGCTACCATTTACTATATTACTTTCTATAGCTATATTTTCAGATGTTTTAGAGTGTATTCGATGTATTTAAGCTACTGTATTCATGAATACATTAACATTTCTAGGCGTGAAGCAGGGGATTACAGCTAGATAGATTTTTGTACTCGACTGTATTCACGGCGTGAAACAGGGGATTACAACTGTTTTTAAACGGAAAGTGAATCAATTAACATAATAGACTCCTAATATAACCAACAAACTCAATTATAACACACAAAATTTGTATTTCCACTTATAAAAAGATTCTCAACCGAAAAACACCCCAGAAACATAGCAATCTTCAAAGAAAATATGCTGAATATTTTTCCTAGCCGATAAATACAACAAAAACATAGCAATTTGAATACATATATACATCTGAACATATATTATATTAATTAAAAAAATATATGAATACATTCATGGAATACAACGAGACAGTGAATACAATGAAATACATGGAATATATCGAGATACATTGAAATACAATGAAAAAAAGACAATGAATACAATGAAACTCATGAAAATACAACGAGATACATTGAAATATATTAACAGAAAATTCAAGTTGCTCAACCCCAAACTTCGTCGTCTTTGTTCAAGAATAACCCTAATGTCGTCTCATCGAGAGGCCGCGATTCTGACTCGAAACGCCACCGTTCCTGTTACCATAATACCCTCACGTGCGCTTCAAAAAACCTATTCTTTACAATTGAATTTGAATAGCGCTTGTGGATTGGGACGGAAAAACCCAGATTGGGCAGAACCCTAGAGTAGAACGACGAAGAGAAGAGGATGACGGAGATTTATATAGAGTTTTGTTTCTAAATTCCAGATTGGTAATATAATCTGAAGAGAAGAGGAAGACGCAGAACCCTAGAACCCTCACGTTTCGATCCGAGCAGCAAACAATTTTCTGGCATTACAATGTTTTTCTCAAATTTTCTCTCTCTTTCCCATTTCGATCTGCATTTGGGAGAATTGTGGTTGTATTCATGCAGAAAGACTGGAGTTGAGAGAGGTGGTGGAGAAAAATCTAAAAGAATGAGAAATAAAAATAATACAATGCGTATTTTATGTCTTAAAAGTAGGAGATGACTATAAATAAATATTTAACTATAAAAATTAAAAAGTAACTATGAAATATAATTTTTTAAAAAAATATTTATTTAAAATAAATCTATCAACATTCAGTTAAAAATTATTCAACGTCCAGCGTTTTATTAAGGTACTTTGGTAAATTGATGATAAATTTTGCAGTGACACGTTGGGTTCTAAGAATTTATGTCCACAAACGCCTTCTCCAGATTTTGATCCTTTCTCCAGTTTTACTCTTCTCTCGCTGCTGAATGCGTTGCGTGTACAGTTATTAGTGAGGTTTTCCTTCTTCTTTTTTTCCCTCTGTTTATCTTATTAAGATGGTTTTCTTATGATGTTTTGAATCTTCCATGGAAGATTTAAGTTGCTTTCGACTAAAATCCTAACCTCATTGATGATACGTTGTTGCGCCTCTGTTTTCTGCGCTTCATTTTGCGCTTTTCACGATTTAATATTAATTTTCATCTCTTTCAACTATTTTAAAGTGCAGTAAGAATAGATTTGAGTCTATTATTTAGATACCACATCAGGACATGCATTAGAGGTATTTGACAAATTGCCCGAAAGAAACTACGGATGTTTGTGGGCTGTTTTAATTTGATTTTGACTGAGCAAAATAAGCTTCAAATATGATGTTTCGAAATTTGGGATAGTTGTGTAATCCAACAGATGCATCGTTTAATTTCACTGACCTTCTTTGTTTTTCTTTCCCCTCATGGGTTACAGAAAGGATGAATTTGTTTCAAAAATTCATGTCTAATTTTGTTTGACTCAAAAGTTGTTAAACACTTTTTAAGCAAATCAATCAAAAGAAATCAAAAGTAAATCGTAATCGAAGATAATGAGACCTAGAAATGTGTATTGTATTTCTTATTGCCTTTGATAGATTGAATATTCCAGAGAGGAAAAGATAGAGAGAGAGAAAAGAAAAAGCTTGTCTTAGAAGATATCAGATCCCTTTTACAGCATTGGGATTCTCCTTTATATAACAAGAGAACCTCCTTAAAGATAATAAAATAATACAGGGAGAGGTCACGTGCTTTCGAGGCGACGACGAGACCTAAGGGCATGTTTCGCTCCGACGTTCTTAGGTCGTACCCTCACTTCGACCATTGCTTAGTCGTGGGTCGTTGCTACCATAGTGGGCAGAATTTGACCCCATACAAATAGTCCCTCCGTCCGTTGGTGACATAACGAAGTGTGTCGCCGATGGACGGAACCATGATCCTTGTACTAGGAAAATTTTGACCATGTTTGGAGACGACGACGTGGGGGTGGCGATCATTTGAATTTGTTGATCTATTGGCGCGCAATCCCTTCCCTGAGATGACGTCACCATATGCAGGCGTCATCATTACGCGTGTTCCCGAGGAAGTACAAAAATGTGTTCTGATGCTTGGTTTCCCGCGCCTGTTTGGGGTTTTGCCTCTTTGATTTCAACGCTACCCAACCCTATAAAATAGGGAAAGGGTTCAACTCAATCTAACTTTAGATCATCTGCAAACGTTTTCCAACTATTTCGAGAAAGCGCTTCCTTTTTACGAAAAATCACCGCGTCCCTGAAAGTACACTTGTGGTTGTGTAGTACATCACTCCTTAATCGGAAACCATGACAAAACCTAAACGGGATAACGCTCCGGGGGCTCGTAATAATAAATCATCTGACATACCGCCTCCATCCGGCGGCAATAAGGGAGAGAAAGGGAAGGATCTCACCCCTCTTACCGTTGATAACGTACTCCCGAAGCAACTTCTTATTAGGAGGGACTTTCAACGGGATTCTCCCGAACAACCTTGGGAAAAATCTGAGTTAAAACAAACTGATTTAGATACTCTTCGTGCGTTGTATGATATACCCGCTCACGTGGAGATGGTTTTAGCAGGAGCGGACTATGCGAACACCCATAGACCGGGATATTGTACGTTTTACGAATATCCCTTTTTGATCGGCTATGGCCTCCCCATTTTTCCATTGGCGGAAGAACTCTGCCGTTACTACAACATGTGTCCCGCCCAACTCACTCCGTATACCCTAAAGGTATGTAGGGTAATGTCTACATACGCGGAGCTGGTCGGGCTAGAGGTCTCCGTTCACCACCTATTGCAGCTATTCAGCCAGCTACTTGAGGGGCACCATGCTGCATCTAAAGAATCGTGGCTCGAAGGGGTTGGTCGTGCAAACCGACGACCGGGCTAACCGGGGCTATTGGCGTAGATGCTTTTTTATCAAGACGGAGCACCTGGTGTCTGACCCCGTCGGATTCCCTGAGAGGTGGAATTCGAGACGTAAGTATTCCTATCCATCGAGTCATTTATCGTACGTGACTTTAGCGGTTCCGATTATACCATCCTTATGATTTTTCTGTTATTTTGCAGCAATAGCTCACGTCCCCCGGTTCATAACCGATATTAAGCAGTGGGTGTCCGGTTTGCTGCCTCTCGCGGAAGAGACCCGTACGTGGGCTGAATTCATTGAACGTTACGGTCCCGCGAGCCCTTCAGGTATTTCTTCGACTTTAATTAGTCGCTTTCACAAACTTCGTCAGCTAAATCACTTTTATTGCCAGGTCGAAGTGCTCCTAAGAGGAGGGCGACGACATCCGCCTCCTCCCGATCGGATGTTGGTCAGAATACGCAGGAAATACTTTGTGCTTCTGTCATGGAAGGGGTGACCGTAGCCTCTTTACAAGAGGCTGTTCTTGCGGAGGTGGCTATAAATGAGGCGAGGCCGTCGACATTGTCTCCGCAACCTTCGGGCGAGCCTTCCGAGGGCGAGGAGCCTGAGGAGAGAAAAAGGAGGAGGCTCGTGATGGGTAAGGCGGTGGCGACTGGAGATGAAGAGGGTGACGCGCCTCGCCAAACAACTAGGCCCGTCTTTATGGCCGACGCCATCCGTTCGGGGAAGGCCGGCCAACTAGATAAGTGCTAATGTTGGTACCAGCTCGGCTCGTGTTGCCGAGGGTAGCTCATCGCCCCTTGTTGGTGGCGACGCTGGGGGACCAACTGCTGAGGCCGCCCACGGGAGCGGGGATGAGATGGCGAAAAACTCTGCACGCGTGGAGATGACAGCAGACGGATCTGGCCGCCGCATCGTGATTCCAGGGGCTTACAACTTGTTACAGCACAGCGAGCGGGCTGCACTGGAGATGGCCCTACTATGTGCTGCCCCCGAGCGCGAGACGCTGAGTGCTGTCAGCGATGCAGAGCTGTCTCGGAGGGTCGCTGGTATGGCGTTACAGGTAACTTCTCTGTTCTTCCGTGTGTCGTGAAGTTGATTTTGATGCGTACTAACTTACATGCATGTATATATATTCTTCTTTAGACCCTGGTTTTGGAAGTGGAGAGGAGGCGCCGTGAGGAGAAGAGAACGACCGTTTTTTATAAGATGGTGAAGAGGTATAAACGGTATCGCTCCAAGCATCAAGCGGCGGCGGATCTTTTCCGGCAAGATCTGCAATTCCAGGTGTTCCGGGAAGGCCTCGAACAGAGGGAGGCACAATTGAGTCGCAGGGCGGCGGAGCTGGAGAAGACGGATGAGGAGCTGGTGAAGGCTGTGGCTCGTAATAGCGAGCTGGAATCACTCCTCAAACTGAGGGAGGAGGAGTTGGAGCTCAGCCGCAGAGTGGTGGCGGAGGTAACCGATCTTCACCGTAGGGTGGCGGCTTTGACAGCCGAACTCGAAGCCAAGGTGGCTGAGGTCGACATTCTCAAGCGTACTGCCCCGCCACGCCGTGGGGGTGTGGCTCAAGATGCGCACGAGATGTGGATATATGCGGAGGCCAAATTGGATGTATATAAACAACTTCTCGTTGGACGTGCCTTCGAGGAGGAAGTTCAGGAGCAGTGGCGATGTCTTTCGGGATCCCCGGCATATCTGAATGAGAAAAGGCAAACAGATTCGCGTGGTTAGTTAGAAATTCACGGTACTTACTTGGATCGCAGAGGCTGTGCCCGATGTAGGCTTTCTTTGTGTGGTTGGTGACGTCCTGTAGGACTTGGTCGAGATCCTCGACCGTCGCTTTGCAGGCTTCTACGACGTCGGGATCTTCGATGACTTCCATTGTCGGGTCGACCTTAGTCCCCGACACGGCTGATTGCTATGCTTCCGCACTTGTTCCCTCTAACTGTTTGGTGTGGGCACGGTCTTGAGCAATTCGGTAGCATTCTCGTGCGGTGCGCGGCTCGCCCCGAATGCTAAACATTCCCCACGGGGTGGGGAACTTGATTACTTGGTAGAAGCTTGAAGGGACTGCTCGCATGGCGTGTATCCAAGGGCGTCCTATGATGGCGTTGTAGGCTGTCTCCTGGTTCATGACGTGGAAAGTAGTTTCCAGCGTGAGTCCCCCTGCCAAAACCGGCAATGATATCTCCCCGGAGGTTCGTTCTACTGCATTGTTAAAATCAATTAGTGTTATGCAACGCGGTATTATCTTATCTTCAAGTCTCATTTGCATGAGGACTCTTAGATGGATAATATAGGCGCAGCTTCCATCGTCAACCATGATTCTCTTAACATCAGTATCGGCAATACGTAAAGTTATGACCAAAGCATCATAATGAGGAAAAGACAAACCGTCGGCATCGGACTTATCAAAGATGATACTCTCTTCGAAGTGGTCATACCGTTCATGGGCGATTGTTCGTTTCAGTTTGTGCGTGGTGGTGAACTTTACGTGGTTGATTGTTGAATCATCGCTGCCTCCGATGATCATGTTTATGGTGCGTCTTGGTGAAGGTGGTCTCGGCGGCCCTTGGGGTTGTTCCCGCCCTCGTGCGAAGTTGGTCTTTCCCTTATTGCTAAGCAGCTCCCTCAGGTGTCCTTGGTTCAGCATCCTGACTACTTCTTGTCGTAGACCTATGCAGTCTTCAGTTTTGTGTCCTCTTTCCTGATGGAACTCGCACAGGACGTTCGATCTCCTTGTTGTAGGATATGATTTCATTTTCTGCGGCCATTGCACCTTGGTGCCCAGTTTCTCCAGTGCGTACACTATTTCTGAGGGAGACACGCAAAAGTTATGGGCAGATAATAAAGGGGGCATACCTTTTTCGTTCCGGAGTGGAGCGACATGTCGTTGCAATGACTCTGTATGCCTCGGCGGTGGTGGATGGGAGGATCTAACGTAGGGCTGGTGCCTTTCTTTGTTGAAGCGCGGGAGCTGTTCCCGTCGCCCGTCGTTGCGTCGATCCCTTCTTGTTTCTGATTGTATCGTCGTTAGCCGTTGGGTCGGTCCATTGAGGTTGTCCTCATCCGCTCGTACTTCGGCACAGTAGGCGTTGTGGATCTCTTCCCATGCGGTGGGGGGATATTTCATGAGTCGGCTCAGTAGCTTTTTGGTCGCTCTTGAACCATCTCTGTTCAGCCCGTTTTGGAAGGCTGCGACAGTCATGCCTTCCGATACATTTGGTAGGCTCATCCTTACCCTGTTGAACCTGGCCAGGAAGTCCCTGAGCCCCTCTCCTATGGTTTGCCTGACGGCGAAGATATCGTTGACCCTGGCCTCTGCTTTCTTTGCTCCTGCATGGGCGGTGACGAAATTATCCGCCATTTCTTCGAATGTTGATATTGTTCTAGCTGGTAGCTGAGAGTACCATGTCAGGGCTCCTCCCGTCAACGTTTCTCCGAACTTTTTCAGCAGTACGGAAGGTACTTGTTCTTTTGACAAATCGTTGCCCTTCACAGCGGTCACATAGTGGATCAGGTGGTCCTCGGGATCCGTAGTCCCATCGTATATTCTCAAGTAAGGTGGCATCTTGAAGGTTTTTGGGATTGGATGAGGGGCAGCCTCCTCGCTATACGGCTGTTCGACGAACCTGCCCACGTCGCGTTTTGGTAGCAACTTAGGAGCACCGGGAATTTTGTCTACTCTTTCCTGATGCTCCTTCATTTGATCTCGTAGTACCTTGTTCTCATTCTCCATTTCTTCCATCTTTTTAAGGATGGCTGCGAGTGCACCATCGTTGGTGTTACTGGTCTGCAATATCGGGTTGGTGGTGGCGGCGAGGTCTGCCGCTGGAGGGTTCCTGACGTTGTTTCGGGGTGACTTTTCAAGTAAGCCACCCAGAGTATTCATTAACCACTCTTCCATTAGTTTTTTGACCAATCGGGGTGGTATTTCTTTGACTGCAGATGTGTAGGCTCCTTTTTCATGTAAGGTTGTCAGGTCCTCAGATGAAGAAGGTGAGATCTCTCCATCTGGTGCACTACCAGGTATTGTGTTCAAGATGTTCTCTTTACGGGCCTCGTTGAGAGGGCCTGTGAGATTGGCTGTGACATCTGCTAGTGCTTTCATTCTTGCGTTGTTTTCTGCCATTTTTGATTTCTGTAAGATGCGAAGAACAGTGGTTCGTTGTTCTCTTCGATGTTCTAGGTGCAAACTATGATTTCGATTGCCGAAATCCCCACAGACGGCGCCAAATTGTTTGACTCAAAAGTTGTTAAACACTTTTTAAGCAAATCAATCAAAAGAAGTCAAAAGTAAATCGTAATCGAAGATAATGAGACCTAGAAATGTGTATTGTATTTCTTATTGCCTTTGATAGATTGAATATTCCAGAGAGGAAAAGATAGAGAGCGCGAGAGAGAGAAAAGAAAAAGCTTGTCTTAGAAGATCTCAGATCCCTTTTACAGCATTGGGATTCTCCTTTATATAACAAGAGAACCTCCTTAAAGATAATAAAATAATACAGGGAGAGGTCACGTGCTTTCGAGGCGACGACGAGACCTAAGGGCACATTTCGCTCCGACGTTCTTAGGTCGTACCCTCACTTCGACCATTGCTTAGTCGTGGGTCGTTGCTACCATAGTGGGCAGAATTTGACCCCATACAAATTTCATATTTCCATGCCTTAGATGTCATGTGAGATGAGTGAGACGCCCACAGATTGATATCATATCCTTCAATAGCAGCCACTACTTAAATTTTTTCCTGATTTAAAAAAAAATATGTAACTTTAAAAAGTTGTGATCATAGCGTGCTCCTTTTGCAGTATCTAATGTTTAAGTTTCAGTTCAAAAACTCTAAATGTAAATGTGTTGTAACTTCCCACCATACATTTATAGGGCAGCAACTAATTGTCTATCTCAAAATTCAGTTAACTCTAAAGTTGTTATTTCAAATTATCCTACATGGATTTCCACTATGGGCTTCCCTGGTTTCTTGGTGCCTATTGGGGTTCTTGTACATCACTGTAAACAAGTAACAGGAAGGGTTGTTTTGCTTGCAACCAAGAGGCATGGCACAGCCTTTTCATTTCAGTAGTTAGCATCCCTATCTCTTGATATCTTCTTATTGATTAGAAGCTTTTTGCACTTTCATGCTGTTTATTTCCAAGTTAAACATACACGTGATGAGTTGACAAAGCCATGCAGACTTGAAAGCTGCAGCTGCTGAATAAGAAGCTCGTTCGGCTGTTAACCGCTTCCTCTGTCTATGTCTGTTTTCCTGAGACCACATGACCCCTGATTGCTTTTTGATTCCTCCTCTGTTTCCGTCCATCTCTTCCGCTCTTCTCTGCCGTTGATAAGTTTTGTTGCGTCGTCTATAGAGCTATTCGGTCAGTTCTGTTATGCGTTACTGCGCAAACTGGGTTAAACTGTTGGAATTTTGTTTTTCGCCTTTCGTGTTTGGCTTTCCCATTTATAAGATGTTTATTTTTTCCTTCCTTCAAGATGTATATTAATCAAATCTTTGCTTTCTGGAAAATTTAATGAAATAGCTTATGTAAACACATTAGATTTAATATTAAAACATCTACAATTTCTTTGGGCTTGAATTATTTGTGGTTTATTGAATGCATATATTAATGGGTTTAAATCTGTTGGTTCTACTGTTGCTGATCTCTCACTTCACAATTGGCATACGAGACTTTTAAGAAAGTTGCTAACTAGAGTTACTTAATTTCGTTCTCATATATGCGGTGTGGCTATACAAATAATAATCAGAGAAGATAAAATTTTGTTTTCTTTGAAGTGCTTATTCTAGGTTTCAATAAGATAGACATGCAAATTAATGTAGTTTATTTATGCAGTCTCTGAGGTATGTGATATGATAGTCCTGCCATTATCAACAACCAAATTACTGTTAATCCATTTTTTACTTAAAACTACTGTTAATTGTGTGTGGTTCCTGAGAGATAGTAACAGAGTTAGATGCAAAAATTCCTAGTTCCTCAAATCCCTCCTCTTCTGGTGGTGTACGAATCGACACATACCTTGCGTCTATTATTTTATAACTTGACACACCGTATCACTGGCTAAGCGCCAAGTCTTTGTGCCATAAGTGATGGAAGGAGCTCTCAAATCTGAATAACTATCTTCAATTTTCCCATTAAAATCCTGTACGTAGCTACTTAAACCTAAGTGATGGCAAAACTATTCCATCCAAATGGTGTGGAGATTTACCTTACCATGTTTACAACTATGCTAAGATGGCACTACAATATACCTCTGGAAATACTTACAGCTCCTTCTTTGCATTTGTGTTCGTCATTCTACTTCTACTTCTCCTGAGCCGAGGGTCTACCGGAAACAACCTTTCTACCTTCTAAAGGTAGGATAAGGTCTGCATACACTCTACCCTCCCCAGACCCCACTTGTGGGACTATACTGGGTATGTTGTTGTTGTTGTATTCTACTTCTCTGCTTCTCTTTTAGAAATGCTTATTTGCTTACGAATTGGATAAAATCTAAGTTCTTAGCTCCAACATGCTGATTAATGTACACTTACAATCATAAAACCAGATAAGTTTTGGCACCTGCTTAGCTCTATAGTACTTTTCTCTTTGATGTTTTACTTGGATGGGTCCAGAGCTTATTGGCGATGCAAATGTAAATTATTCCAACTGATGAATTTCGACTATGAATTTTAATTTTTTTCCCATGCTTAGTTGTATTTGCGGAAGCATGCTGGATCGAGTTGGATGGCAGAGTTTCTCCTAGGAATAGAGCATAAGAGCAGAACGGTTTGTTCATCTTCGTGCCTCGGACCTCGGTGATATTCTTTGCTGCTCCAGATTTTTCTGTTTCAACGCAAGCGCTACCCCCACTAGTATTTATTAGGGGCCATCATATGATCCAAATTGAAATAAGCAAAGGTGAATTGTGAAGCAGTATGCCTCGATACAAAGACGAGCCTCCTGCAGTCTGTGTTTACACAATTTGTGATGAATCCAAGTGCGTTAACCCCACTCTCTTATCTCTCTGTCTTCTAAATTATATTAACAACATGAATTCAAATTTATTTAATTCTTTCATGATGTGACTTTCCTGGAATTTTGTGCAGATATTTGATTGTGAGGAATGTTCCAGCGTTGGGCTGTGGCGATCAGCTCTCTAAACTATTCTCCACTTACGGAGAAATTGAAGAGTACGGTTTTTTTCTCAACTAATTGTAGATTTATTCGTAAATTTAAAACCTTTTGGTTTGTTTTCACTTGTGAAACTATTGCACGTTCAATGGACTTAGTACTTTAATTCTCTGATATAGATAAGTTATATTTGTCTTTTGTTTTCAAAAGAGCATGCCACGTGAAAGTTAACAAATATGTTAGCTTAGCTAGTTCCATCTAAAAGTTAGATCAAATTTGTTGTATTTGAGCCTCTTGGGCGTAGTTCAAGTAGCAAAGGTTGAGGGACTTGTGACTTAGGTCACAGGTTCGAGCCTTGTGCTATACTAACTAAGCATGGTGTTTAAGTGGATTAGGGGAGGGGGTGGGGCCATTATCTCCGAGTTTCAAAGGCTGCGGTGTCCCAGATGGATTTCTTGGTCATCCACAAAAAATTGCTATATTCGACAATTAAAGGTTAAATATGAAAGGTCAAAGAAGAAGAGTACGCACAAAGGTAATAGAGAACCAATACTGCATCTTGCTCTTTATGGAGTACCTATTTTGTGTTTTCATTGGGGAGAGGGGGAATGGTGGAGAGGATATCACATATCTGCTTGTTGAAACTATGTATTCTTGCATCGTGTAGTTGTTGTCATTTTGCTTTGAGAATATACTTAGAATGGTGAGTGTACTCAGTGATACAGACTTTGAAGATAAAGTTTGATGATTTTAGGGTAGTGTCAATACTGTCCTTTAAGTGTATTACCTTTATCTTTATCGTTCTCTTGGTTTCTTAGATGTAAACCAATGGATGGTGAAGATTGCGAGCCGTTTACAGATGTCTTCTGGATCAAGTTTTATCGGGTTGACAATGCCAGGTGATTGCAGTGTTTGGATCATCACCATTATATCTAGAGATCTAGATGGATATTGTTATTTTCTTTTTTAATACAAAAATGTGATTAAACTGGTATGAGAAAGGGCAAAATATCTACTGCAAGAGGACTCCAATTCCCCTATAACACAATCAAAAGAATGTCGAAGAAACTGGTCCAGCATAGCACATATTTTCTCGGCGATGGTTTCCATGCAATTTTCATGTACATGCACGTCTGTGTTTGTATTGCACCATGACTTATGTTTACATATTTGCGTCTCCAGGTTTTCCAAAAGGAAATTGGACGAGTCTGTTTTCCTCGGGAACAGGTTACAGGTCTCTTATGCACCTCAATTTGAGAGTCTGCACGAAACGAAGGAGAAGTTAGAAGCGAGGAGAAAGGAAGTTTTAGCACGATTAACTCGTAAGTACCTTATCACAAAGTTAGCAATTAACTTGTCCAATGAGAAAAGTTCTACCTTTGTTTTGTAGAGCCCTAGTTTCTTATTCTGGGATCAATGTTCTTTCAGCTGGAAGGTCGAAAGGATCTGCGACATATCGACCGGATGTGGTTGGTGAGCCCTCTCCAGCTTCCTCACCAGCTCAGTTGAATTCTATTGCTCAATCAGTTGGCGCCAACCAAAGGTAGTTCAATCGAGATGGTCTAAATTGACTTTTGAATTTTGTATATCAAGATAGAGTAAAACCATTTTCATTGTAGGCAGAGCTCCAATTTGCAGTATAACTCTACTCATGGCATACAGGGTTCTCCTGTGACAATGGTTTCTTCAGACAAGGTTCGTCATAGCGTCACATATGTAACACCTCCTTCGGTTTTGACTTTTAGCAACTGCTTTTAACATTGTTATCAAACTCCATAGTCAAATTATGAAGCAGGGGGTCCGTTGCCAGATAATCATTTCTGTGCAATGTAGAGTGCGTGACGGTTGTATTTGTGTCTGTAAAATTTAGGCAGATCCCCTTAGGTTTTGAAAGCTAGGAGACTTAGCACACCCGTTAGTACGCTTGTAGTTGGTGCATTAACAAAAGCAAGAAGAATGTTGAAGGGGAGAAAAATCAAGTGAATATCTTCTTTGATTGTTGTGCCTTGGCAATATCAAGCTGTAGATAGGTTGCCAGGGGGCAGGGGCAGAGTTTCGTGGCATGGGTTGCTGTGACTTCGAATAAAAAGAAAGATTACTGTGGATATCTTGTGTAATTGCTTGATGGAGAATTACCAAGGAATGGGGTCATTAGTGAGTGCTGGGATGGCAAAAGTTAGGAACTTTCATTGGTTAATCTGATTTCGAGCGTGTACTCCCCTGAGTTAAGCCTTGGGCTCTTAGTGTTGGTATCAAGAAGAGGACTCAGGATTATTTATATTGGGTATCTTGTGGGGCACCTTATTGGGGTAAGCCTGCCTAGCTTGGTGGAGCATGGATTGGTTTAGCTAAATGTTTGTTTGGCTGGTGAGGGTCATGAAAGCAAGGTTCATCAGCAGAAAGGTCCAATTGCTTATTTAAGAGATATGACGTTTTCCTTTTAGTATTTGGTCCTATCTCATTCTACTTCTAGACACGAAGAGGAATTACAATGAGCCCCTTAGAGAAGAGAGGGGAATAAACCTAGAGAATTAAGCATTTCTTTTGAAAATGATTATTCCATTCTTCAATTCTGTCAGGCCACCACTTTTGAGATGTTCTAATTATAGAACTACCTTTTTTAATGATTTGCTGAGGGCAAATCATGGTTTCAACTTTTCTTTGCAACACTAATATGAACTCTATGTGTGTGATATTTGCCTGCTGCATGCAGGTTATCAACACTAGGTTTTAAATTTTTCTAGAATGACAGCGTTTTCTCCCCTTTGGTACTATGTCAGGAATACTTTCCTTCACAATCAATGAATCAAACAGTTAAGCTGGTGAGAGAGAAACTAAATAAGGTGAACAATCAACATTCTTCTGACGTACAATAATTGAATTTTAGATGTTTATTTTATTTGACAATTTGTTCTGTTCTTCTTTAGATACAATCCAGTGTGGACCATTTAGAAGGTGAACCATCCAAGAGAAAACGTGTTGATAATAGGAGAAGGATATAAGTGCGGGTGTTGAAAAGAGAATATGGCTGCGGATGAGTTTTTTCTTTTTTTCATGCTGTCTGCAGAATATGTCGACTCTGGTTAAACCATTACTTTTTCTCAATTCAAGTCCATGGTGTCCAGAATTTTCTATGGCATTCTTCACCAACTGAGTATCAAGAAAGACGACTTTGTTCTATTTTTGCGCTCAACTCTATCCAATTCCCTCTTTATCTCTTTGGTATCACTCCCATAGGTGCCATTGCTCCAATTGTTAATCCTATGTACAGTTTCAGAACTTTCCAGGCAAGTTAAAGATTGTAAACTGAAGCTTATTGTGACTGTCCCTGAATTGCTTGATTAGTTAGTTAATAGGTCTAATTTGCCTATTTTGTTTTTGGCTCACCAGAAAAATTCTAATTTGTGTGTTATAATGTCCACTGAGCTAGTTGATAAAGCAACGTATGTGAACTGGGATAACTGCGGATAAAGCAAAGTGACACTGCAGCATTGTTTTATTATTTGGGTACAACAGGGGATTAGCAAAGGAGTGGTTTCGACACACAGGAATTTCATTGCTGTATCTTTAATGGTGACTATTTGGTGGGGTGAACTGCATAGTGTGTTTTTGGGTGTGTTGCCTATGTTTCATGCGTTTGGTCTTGCTATTATTATGTATTCACAGTTACAGAGGGACAATGATGTTGTATCTATGGCTGAGTTTGATTTGGAAGTGATTTTGAAAACCATTGAAAAGTATTGGGTGACGCATTTATGGGATTGTGCCTCCGGTTGCTTTAGCATTGGCTAAGAATTCTGTGGTGAGGAAGTATCATATAATGTCGTTGAAGCATATATTGGGTCTGGTGCTGCACTTTTGGGAAGGACTTGGAGGTTTGCGCTGAGAACTTTCGTGAGGCTGTTGTTGCTCAGGGATATGGTATGACAGAAGCATGTGGGATTCACTTATTGGAGAATGAATATGTATGCCGAAGACACAGAGGATCAGCAGGGTCTCTACTTCATGGAGTGGAAGCTCAAATAGTTAGTGCTGATAAACTGAAGCCTCTTCCTCCTGGAGAATTAAGGGAGATATGGGTACATGGTCATGATGCAAGGCTGTTTCAACAATCAAGCCACAAGGCTGACTATAGATGAGCAGAGCTGGGTACATATAACATACTGGAGTTATTGGGTACTTTGATGAGAAAGGAATACTTTGTCGTTGACAGGATCAAAGAGCTCATCTAGTACAAAGTTTGAGGTCGCACCAGCAGAGCTTGAGGTCTACTTGTTTCCCGTCCTTAAATATCAGAGGCTGTTGTTATCTCGTTTCCTGATGTCCAAGGCTGGTGAGATTCCATCTCGCTTAATAGCGATCTGACTGAAGAAGTCCAGAAGTTCATTGCAGATCAGGATTCGCCTTTCAAAAGATTGCGGAGGGTGACTTGCATAAGCAATGTCCCTAAGTTAGCCTGTTGGAAATTCTAAGAGAACAAGTTGAGAAGGTTCGACCAAACTGTATACGATTTGCATAGTTCACTGATTGATTGTTAAAGGCCAAATACACATACTGCCCATTCAACTTGACACCATTTTTCATTTTGGCACTCTATCTCTACCTTGTTCCATTTTGGCCCTCCAACTCTATTTTATATGTTCCATTTTGGCCCTCCAACACTATTTCTTATGTTCCACTTTAACACAAAAGCTGAAACCAATTCAAAAATATAGCGTCTGTGTATACACAAATCTGAGGTGTAATAAACATCCAATTAAATGTTGCTATTTGATTTTTTCATCCATGCCAAGGGGTCAATACTAAAATATCCGAGCCCGACTGTATTTTTTCATGCAACCCACAAAAAATATGGTCGGCAGGTATGAAATCGTCGGGTGAAATCTTTGGAACTTAGAGAATGAAGATGGGGCAACAGTGATGAAAAAATACAGCCGGGTTCGAGTATTTTAGTATTGACCCGTTTGACATGGATGAAAAACAAGGTGGCATTATTTAATTGGATATTTATTACACCTCAGATTTGTATATACACACGCACTGATTTTAACTTTTGTGTTCAAATGGTACATAAGAAATAGAGTTGGAGGGTCAAAATGGAACAAAATAGAAATAGAGTGCCAAAAAGAAAAATGGTGCCAAATTGAATGGGATGTATGTGTATTTGGCCATTGTTAAATGAGCATCCATCTACCGGAGAAAGTTGCATAAACTCAATCTCAGTACTTCTTAGAGTTAGAGAGTTGTCCAACATAACTCCAGGAAATGTGACGTGACATGATTTGGAAATTAGCGTGGAAAACAAGAGCCACAAATCCATAATAACAGACCTTCAACCTAGTATGTAAAAAGATGCTAGGCATCTTCATGATAAAATGGTATAATTCGAATATTTCAAGTTATTCTACGAGAAATTCAAGGCTTTTCCCCTCTCAACCCTTCACTTTTCCTGCTTCACATGCAGGTTTTTTTTGGAGACAGCTCAATTTAATTTTGAAATAAAGAAATTCAATAATGGACACTGCAAGATAAACAGAAGCGGGCGCGTTTCAGACACTGGTTACAAAAGCAAGAAAGGCTATACTGATTTCAGCTCTGCCCAAAACTATTTAAATAAGGAAAAGGTCAAGGTTGGCAAAATCAATCCTTAATGTAACGACTGTTTTGTGGTCCCGGTCTAAGCTAAGGGATTCTCTTCACTAGTCTTGTGTAGGGAGATAATGGAGTAAGGGTTTGCATAAGCCGCATTCCAGGAGCCTACCCTATGCTCAAGTCATAGCAGAGCAGCAATATGTTTGTTAATCCTCCTTATTACGAGCTAGTCTGGCCCGGTGTCTAAGCTCGGCTTTTTTCCACCTTACAATCAGGTAACATAGTGAAAAGAGGGTATTAACCTGCAAAGAAGAAAAGTGTGCAGCAAATTAGTGAGTAGAAACACTAGAAACGACGGAAAGAAACGACCAAATATACTCACCAAGATTATTATCGCAATAACCAACAGAGGCCCAGACCAGAGTGTGGAAAGAAAAATGCCGTGTGAATCGAAGTAATTCTGGCGTGCAAAGCTTATCCAGTTTGCAGCTAATAAGCCATTAAGCTTTTCGGCACCATACACTCCTCCAACTGCATCATAAGGAAACTAAAGTAAGGAACTCCAACTGCATCATAAGGAAACTAAAGTAAGGAAAAAGGAACGTATTCACATACTGCAATTCAAAAGATCACACTTCTAACATGCGAGCCAAAAAGATGCCCCGACTTCAGCAGTTTCACAACAAAAGCTACTAGCATATAGAACGTAAGTAGCTGTTGGTTAACGGCCTCAAAATTTATGCTTTCAATTAAGCCACAACTTTTTGTTTTTTACTTCCAATTTAAAAACCAACAAATATGTAGTTTTATACACCCAAAACCTAGACAACCAAGACAAGGAAAGGAAGAAATTCCAAGAGTTAAGCTTGTGTTCAGAGAACATAATGCAATCACCATACAACTGAAGTTCTATGTGTCTTTGGAAAAGATGAAGGCTTGCAATCCATGTAGAAGTTCTGACTGATCATTCTGGAACTGTACTATGTCAATGAGCTTTTGAAGTTGTCTACCACGGATTATTCTCAATCTATGAAGCCAAAGCTGATCTACTTGTCGAAATTGGTTATCAGAACAAATCAATTTCCAGGCATGATAGTTTGCATAAAATCTATAGGTTATTCGCTGATTGCCTGAAATCTTTTTGCAGAGTTCTAATTGTACATCCTAAGTAGAGTCACTGTTCTTAACTTCTGGGATCGCAGAGTCCACTAAGAATGCTTTAAGCATTTATTCTGCATGAAGTGGCCACATCATAGAGGGTTTGCCTCGACATGTCTTTTCACTTCATTTCTTCCCTTTAGTCAGTACCATATTTTATTATCCTCTTCCTTACGATTCAAGGAATATGTCTGAAAAACGTATCACGATGAAACATCATATTCAAAGATGCAAAACATAAAATAAATTTTCGTTAAGAATGAGAGAACTAAAAAGGAGATAACGGCAGGTAAAGAAACAGAACTAGGAAAAGGGGTTAAAAACTGAGCTGAAGAACACCGACACTACTAGATTAATTTCAAGGTCTTGAGTGCTAATATACCTAAGCAAGTAAAAAGAAGAAATATCAGATCAGGTTACAATAAAAAGAGGACGCTTACGTGCAAGAAGGAACAAAAACATCTGGAAGTTGATGTTCTTCCGCGAGACAAATGATACAAGAAGAAACATGGCATGAAATGAAAGAAGACATATCAACCAAGGTTCCTGCAAAAGGAAAAGGAAAACCAACAATAAGAAAGACAACCAGAAAGCTCGTCCATGTCAAGATGCCAAAATCTCATATTTGACAAGGTCAAATGACATCTTTGTTAACCAAAGAGACCTAGTTGCTCAAAGATAAATAGTGATGCATATATATTGATAAGGTAATAATTCTCATGAAGAAAATATTGATAAGGTAATAATGAATATATTATCTCATACAAATTGTATTTTAATATGTTTCAAAAAAAATTGTATTTCAATTTCCAAGCAAAATTTTGAACATATAGCTTTAGCTTCTCTCTAGTACTCTCCTTGTATTGCATTAGACAGCTTGCAGCACCAGCCACATCTCATGTGACTTTGCTCCCCTTGAGCATCAATTAGAGCTCTTAGATACTCTTGCTCATCTTCAGTTTCATAAGTAGGGGAACAAAAAAAAGAATATACAAAGTGCGTAAAAGGAAGAAAGTAACTAAACATAAGAAGAGGGTAAGCGGATTCTAATGTAGAGAAAGGAAGATATAGTGAAACTGGATAGACCATGGCCCTTACTTCTAAAGCATTACAAGCGGCTCGATAGCCTCTACGGTTTGCCTGTGTGTGCTGGAAGGCTAAAGCATCACTGGTCATTCTAGATACTTATATTCTAACTGAAACTCCAATAAGGAGAAAAGAAATGGCAGCAGATGATGACCTGTGAACATAAGTTAATGGGTGCCAAGAGCAAGTGGATATTTGATAGATTTGACGTTATAATTTAAAGTTCAGGTGGATTTCTTACAAGACAGATGGAATAAAAATAAAAGCTTAAGCTTGAGGATGCTCCTAATATTAACACTTCACAGGAACAAGTGCTCAGCAGATTTATTCTTCACATTGGACAATGCGTGCAAGGGTATAGATAAGACGAACACAACTGCATGATATTTCATGTGAATAATACATTCCATAATTTTGCTAAACGAAAGTTAACAGAGAAGTTTAGACTCCATAAACAATCCAGCAACTTGCTTCAATCAAAAACTATCTAGTTCCTTCAATTGGATAATTCTACCACTTCATATTTCTGGTCAAATGTTTCTCATCTTGCTTCTTCCTATGCATCAAAGAAACAGCTCTATTTTGGCTACAACGATCCATTTTCTTCGCTGTAATTCCCTATTGACATCAGGCAAGTATGGCTTTCCTTGTGGAGCATATGAGAGTCCAAATTAAAGCATGTTAAAATCCTCACTTCAAATGAAATGATATCCATTTAAATTATTTGATTGTGCACGTCCATCCAAGTGTAGATTTACCTTGTAAAGGATATGAGAGTTTAAAGTAAACAAATGGTATATTTTCTAAAGAAAAAAGGAATAAGAATTCCACTTAATGAAATGACATCCATTTAAGCTATGTGATTGTGAGAGCCTAGGTGAAGATCAATCTAATATTTGAAGGTTAAAATTTCTGAACCTATTCTATTCAGCTAGACCATCATCTGTGGTTGTCTTTCCGCATATCTACTGCTAGCGATAAGTTATCACTTGATTAATTTCCACTTCTTGTCTCAATTTCATGCAGCGGAAACCAACATAATCTAGATAATGACTTGGATCAAGGATAAAAAGAAAAAACAAATATTCATGAGTTTGTTTGCTAAGTATGTTCGGCATCACTTCACCGACAATAATGTGAAGGCCAGCTTGAAGTTATCCATTAGTTGAAACTTGGAAGTAACAGAGCACAGAAACTACAATGTCATGCTGAGAATACTAAATATTCAATAGCTAATCTTCTCTGTATTGTTCCAATTTCATCATTTGTCCCTGAGCGGGCAAAAATATTGATTATTCAATAGGAATACACAAAGGAAAATGTTTATATATTTTTAAATTTTACTCTCCTTTCGGTAAATTAAGAAAGAAAAACTCTATTTCTTTTATAATGGTGGTGTTCAGCCAACTTGCACACCCTCGACGATTCCACCTCGGCATAACAAGAAAGTCCCAGTACAAAATTTTCCCAAAAAAATAAAAAATAATAACAGAACCCTAACAAAATCTGATTTTTACAAAGTTGGTAGCATTTGTAGGAGTTGGATAAAAAGGGAAATACCGTCCAGTCAATGGCGTGGAAGAAGCCGATGAAGTTGTCATAGGCGGGTCTAAGACTGGACCTCATCTCTGCACTGAATTTCTCAACGAGATCTGCCATTTGGTCCATATGAGAATTGAAAGCTGATGTTAATTCCTCCATTGTTGCCTCTCAAAAATTTGCTGCTTTTGAGATCAAGAAAAGTGCCGCTTCTGTCTCTGCGAGTAGCTCTGAGTCTGGGTAGTATTGTTTGGTGTATTCTACACTCCTTTAACTCCTTCGTCTGGAGCTTTCTCGGCTATTGCTAAAGCACCCCTTTAGTTTCAACAAGTGCCAAATTAACCCTATGATCTATTTTATTTTGCTTGATTAGACCCAGAAGCAGATTTAGCGATTGAAGTCTATACTTTAAAATTATTATATATTAATTAATAACTGAATTTACACTCAATATTAGGGTCTAAGCAAAAATTGCTGGATGAGCCATAGATAGATTTGCCTCTAATTAGACCCTATATCTTAGGGCGGTGCATAATTTGGTAAATACCGAATTACCGTACCGAAATCAAAAATTTTGGTATTTTGGTATTTGGTTTAAATTTTAAAAAAAAATTGGTATTATGTATGGTATTTGGTATTTTAAAATAAAATATTGAAATACCGATACCGTACCGAAATATATTTTATATTACACAAACACGTATTATCAATTATAACATAAATATAAAAAAATCTAAAATTATTTTTCTTTATTCTCTAAGTTCATCAATTAACTCTAAACAAATAACAAGACATTTCTAATGATCAAATATTCTTTTATCTATATTTTTCTCTATTTGGGTCGATATTTGCTAGTTTTGGACAAAATTTTTGTCAACAAACATTTTCAATTTTGTATTTTTGAGTACTTTAACTAAGAATATTAGAGTGTATGGCTCTATGAACTAGTTAGTATGCGGACCGAATAAATCGAAACCGAAAGGAGAAAAACTAAACCATACCGAGTTTAATTAGGTACGGTATTGATATATGATTTTAAGAAACCGAATACCGAAAATACCGAACCAAAATATCTAAATATTGTACCGCACTGACCAACGAACACCCCTATTATATGTTCATACGTAAATGTTTGAAGTTCTAACTACACATATAATATGTCAAATTCAAGTTTCGCAATCCCCAACTTTAGCTCTGTATATCTGAAGATTTAAATTATAGACAAGCAATTTTCAACTTTAGCCTTGAGATTCTAAAATTAATTCTAAGGTTAAATTTTAAATTTCAGCTATACTTAAATAAGAATTCGAAATAAGGCTATTTGTGTGTAAAAATAGCACGGTCTAACCAGTTTTCAGAATGGTCATTCAAAAATAGCAAACGTTTATAAGTCAATAAAAAATAGCCACTATTTTGCTGCAACAGAGACCGGTCCAGCATAATATACTGGAGTGCGGTGCACCTGTGTATGAACTTCCAGCATATTATGCTGGACAGGTATACTTTGCTGGGTCCAGTATAATATACTGGAGACTGGAGCACCGGTGCTCTAAACTCCAGTATATTATGCTGGACCGATATATTATATTGGAACTCCCGTATATTATGCTGGAGTATTTTTTTTAGATTTTGAACAGTGTTTTCGTTCAGATTTATCTTTACATGAAAAGTGGCTAAATTTCAATTACTTTTGAAATTGGGCTATTTTTGAACGATGACTTATAAATATGGCTATTTTTGAATTTCTCCCTATTTGTGTACTTGCGTTTAATTGGCGCGAATGGTAATTAAAAAAAATTGTATGCCAACTAAACAATCCTAAAAGAAAAGGGAATTTATATTATTCTATTTCAACTCAAGGGTAAGGATCACTTTGTTTTTCAATATTAGGATATGAGCTAAATCCAAAAAGGAGAACCATACCATGGCTACAGCTCTGCTCTCATCTCCTCCTCTTCCATTATCTTCTTCATCCAACCCTTCTATCCTTCCCACCCGCTTAAAGTAGTCCACTTTTCCTACACATTTCTCCATTTTCGTATCTCGTATTTGCCTCTAACAAAGAAATTTCCTTTTTTTTTTTATAGAAACCAGAGCAAGATTCTATGGAAGCAAAAGAAATGTGGGAAAATCAGGGCTTGCTCAGAGTTTTGCAAAAAACCCGCTTTGGAATATGGGATTTCAAGAAGGGATTTGGCCTTCATTGCTCTTTCTTCTTCACTCTCTCTAATTTTCCCACTTTCAGGTAAAAACAACTGTAAAGTTTGCATTTTTTGAGTATATTTTTCTTGTTCCACATCATAATTTTTAATTTGGGATCCTTCAGTGAATTTATTCTTACCTTATCTATGCTGCTGTTTCAGTTAGTGACAAGACAAAATATCTCATTATCATTTTTCAGTCTGTTGGTGTCATTGAACTCCTTCCCCCACCCAATATTTAGACCCTTTTTGGTGGACAGAGTAACCTGGTACCTGTGCTGGTCGGAGGTAGCAGGTATTCGGTGGAGTTAGTCGGGTGCGCATGATAACAACACGATAGGGGATTCAAGAATTACTAAAGAAAAATAAGAAAATCAAGAAACGTGCGGAAGCTAAACGAAAATAAATAAACAAAAAAAGGACGAAAAATTAAAGATAGATTGAATTCAAGAAAGTGTTTCTTGAATTCAAGAAGTCTATTCTTGGAGTTGAATCCTAACAACAATAATTAGCTAACAACGAACTAATCGCCTTTGGTAGAGAATTAAAAACAAGAGATAGATATAGATTGTGAAACCCGACCCTTTAGAATAACAAGAACAACAATAAGCCTAAACTTATCACCTTTCTTGAATACCTAGAAGTGATCTAAGATTTCGAAAGAGTTTAATCTTACCACCTTAAGTTGAGTCTTGAAGGTTGAAGAATAAATCCAAGAGTAGCCACACACAAGAGTGCAAGAAAAATCTCACAATTTTTATTGATAATAATCTGAATAATCTCCCTAGAAACAAAGAAGATACCCCTTTATATAGAGGGATCACGAAATTAAGGCTAAGAAACAAGGAAATAAAGTCCTAAACTACTTTGGACAACAAGTCCAACTAACTTAGGAAAAGGAAAATACTAGGAAGCAAAAACCAAGTCATTCTTGGAAAGTAATTCCAACAATCTTAGGAAAAGGAAAATATAACCTTAACTAACTAGGAAAGCAATAAATATAGTCCTAAAATATATAGGAATAAGTCTCAAACCAATCTTGGATAGAATCTTGGAAATCTTGAAGGAAATTTGCAAGAAACTCGGCAGCAACTTGCACTCAACACCTAGCACGATTATTGTACCATTATTGGACATCAAGTAAGTCCTTTTTATGCTATAAAAACGTGGCTTTATGTGGGACTTCATGGGTAGCAAGTTTGGACACATTTTAGGTGCCAAATTGGTCCAACAGTGGCCTGATTTTGGACCTTCTTCAGATGATGTTTCTTGGGATCTAATCCACCTATTCTTGAACATGAATTTGGGTCATAAAATAATTATAACACCTAGATAACTCATATCCTTTATCCTTAAGCTCTTCCTCCCAACTAACAACTTCTTTGATCGCTCCTGAAGTCCAATGATCTTGTTTTGCAACTTTTTAGCTTGAGATCTTGTTAAAGGCCCTCTTTGAGATTCCAAAGATTCATACTTGTCCTTGAATAGATTTGAGCTTCCTAGAATGCTATCAGCACACAAGCTCACCATTATCCAAAAACGAAAAAGTTAGACCCTTTTTGGTGGAAATAGAGTTTGACCCTCCAAATAGTAATAGTGTCCTATAAAATAATAAAGAGGTATAATAATGTGTTTGGCAGTGAAGTGTTAAGGATATTAGTTTGAAATGTTAAAAAGTAGTTTGAAATTATATGAAGTAATAGCTAGTTTATATTTGTTTGAATTGCTGGAGGGAGAAAAGCTTCCCATTAAAATATTGTTAGGACTGATGAAATAAGTTCTCTTCATAAAGTGACGGTCTTTAATAGTATTAACTTAAAAATGCATGTTTAGGATGGTTATTCGAATAATCTGTTAAAGGAAAAAGAAATATTGTATTGAATTTATTGCCAATGAAGGAAAGTGGTCAAGTAAAATAGGATTGATTAAGCATGAATGCCAAATCTCAACAAAATAAAGTTTCTCCCTAAATCTTGTTACTGCTAATTAACCTATGTTATATGTATGCTTTTAGTCTTCATTTGGATGACATGGAGGGAAATGAGGGATAAGTGTAGCATTGGCGTTAGTTTACCTTGTTGGACTACCTTAACAAGAATCAAGATAAAAGGAGACGGAGTGTCGGAGAGGAAGAAACAATATAAATACTACAGCTGATTCTAAATCAATGCTGGGTGTGTGGATGTTATTTGCATGTCCAATGCAAGAAACCGTTACATTCGTATACAGAAAAATACATTAGGTCCTCTCCTAGTTGATTGATATTATAATTTATTTCCGTTTTGTGTAAATAAAAGAATAATGAGGCTTATTAACAGCAACACTGCAGCAGTTTTGCCTGCTGAAAGGGTCTTGTCTTTATGCTACTTAAAAACTAAGTGAAAATAGTTGCTGGGGCGTATTCCTTACTGTTTTTCTCAGGTGATATAGATAAAGCATGTTTGTATAAAAGGGTCAGCATGATTTTTTATACGAATATAGTTGAATTTTTCTTCATATACTTTGATTAATGTAGAGAACCATCTTTCAAGGGCAAATATGGTTTTGTATTTTTCTAATCGCTCTTAGGTTTAATGAAGAGAGACTTGTTTGAAGTGGGTTCCAATTTGATCTTCTCATATGTGCTATTATATGCAGGTTTTAGTGCTGAGGAAGAGTTGAAAATGGGTTCATTTGTCGATGATGTAAATTCCTATTCCTACTTGTATCCTATAGAACTGCCTTCTAAGAAGTTTGTCTTCAAATGGTAAGCAATAGCTTGGTTACTAAATTCTTATCTGCTTTCCATTTGATATGTGTCTTTGGAATTATAAAAAAGGAAAAAAGAAAAAAAGAAAAAAAAAGAAAAAAGAAACTTATTTGGCCTGCATTGCTGGTTTCTTATGGAGTTGTACAGTAAGAAACAATAGACATGGTAGTTTTAGCCCAAAAGAAGCTTAGACCTTTGAAAATTCTAATGTACTTGATCGTCAAATTTTGGGTGAAAAAGACGAGTAGCTGATATACACATTGTCACATTCAAATCCTTCAGTGCATCTGAAAAGTCCTAGGTGCCTTCGGGGATACACTTGACCGAACTCTTAGCCCTGAATTCAGTTTTTTAGATCTAATCGTGCAAATGAGCACTTTCAGGTCAACATTTGCCAAAAGCTCTATCCATTTTGATTTCCAAATCCACGGTCTGTTCTGTATAGTTCATTTTCCCGTTTGACACAGTGTTTGCAGCTCACTTGACAACCATTATAGATTCCTTTTTTCTTGTGGTTTGATTTAATTTTATGCAAATGAGCGTCTTTTTAATTTTCACCATATGAGAGAAAATCTCTATTTTCATGCCCTGCATCTTGTAGGAACCTCACTCTTTTCATCTATTTGAAGGGTGGAGACCAGAAAACCAGAGCGTTATTCATCAGCTGCGCCACTATCGCGTAAGTCGGTGTAGCTTGTCTCCTGTTTCTAAGGAAGGTGATATTTAAAACATGTAATTTATTTGATATTCTGGTTGGATACGAGGGTAGTCACTGAACTAGGTTAAAGTCCAAATGAAGTGGCCAGTTTCTCCGAGCACCTCTGCCCTGTCATGGAGCACTTGTACATACTTCACGTATCCTATAAAAAAGGAAAAAATTACTTAGAGTCACTGGCTGTTGAAATATGCTTTTGAGTTTTGATGTAATGGTTCTTTGCCATCTGTTGATATATCATGCAGCTGATGCACGTCTTCGCATTGTGTCTGAACAAGTTGATATCATTGATAACCTCATAATTTCTGTTTCGGTAATTCGTCTACTCCTGCATTCATTCTTCTTAACTTTGACCATCTTTTCCATTCTTTTGTTGAGATTTACTGCAATATGTTTATTCAGATAGGTCCTCCCAACTCACAGTTCTTAAAGTCAAAGGAGAAAAGTACATGGACTGCAAAAGATGTTGCTGATTCTGTTTTGTCTGATAAGTCTGCTTTGGTAATAATTCTTTGTCTCGAAAGGCTGCAGATACATAATCGAGTTTAGCAAATATATGATGTGGTTTGTGGTTTGCCTATCAACCCCCAGCTGCTTCTTGCAAACACTATATGGAACTTACAGATTGTTCAATATGGCAATAAAACATTAGTAATTTTGAACTCATTAAAGGTGAAAAAAAATTAGTTGCTTCATGCATCACAAAATTTCTCGTGATTTATTTGGTTGGATAAACTCTAAACAGATGGCACTTGGTTGATTCATTGCACATATTCTTCGACCAACTGCATTATAACACTTTTTGAAATGCATTGCCCATTCTTTGTCCTTCTTTTTGCATAGACCTATTGCAAGAAAATTCCATCACAGTATCTGTGTGAGGTAACATTTTATATGTTTCTACAGCGTGTAACCTCAACTCAGCGATTGGCTGAAAGTTCACTTCTTGATGCACATACTTCTGAAGTGAGTATCTTTTCATCTACGTGTTTAACTTTGTGTTAGGTATTTGCTTGAATTATCATTTGTGTAGTATTGAACCCACTTCGTTCTACATGCACTCAGTCAACTTTCTCTTTTATAACAAACTTATTAGATTGATGGTGAGCCCTATTGGTACTATGAGTACCTTGTTCGGAAATCACCAACCAAAACAGTAAGTTCCTCTTTAAGTTAAAAATTCTAAATTCTGAATGATCTTCTACAATTCTCATATTTCATGTTGTAATATGCAGGCTCAAGAAACGAATCTTTTTCGTCACTATGCTGCTTCGACAGCTGAACGAGATGGTAAAATTGAGTTTTAGTTAGTGACTATTTTATTTTTTACTCTTCACACAAACATAATCTTTGGGACAATTGAAAATGTATTTTATTAGTAGGAAGTGGTACTTTTTCTTTTTGGGATATAACTATGATATTTAAAACCATAACTCGCTAGTTTCTCCTTTAGCTAGTTATTACAATATTTATGAAATAATTGTTTAATTAGCTAAGCTATTCTTTAGAAAAATTATAACTAGTTTGAGGTGATTCAAAAAATTAGGACATTCGACTTAAAGCGGAAAAGCTCATCCTACGTGCTGTCTTATTACTCATGATAGAGTACTAAATAATCTATTCCTTTAAGGTTCTCAGTTGATAATTAGAGCGGCTTTAGAAGGTTGGATAGAAAGGTGTTTAATTTTCTGGTTCTTGGACATGCTTGATCATTTTCATCAAGCATATTCATTGCATTGGGTATGACATTAGTTATGACTTCATTGGATTACACAGACTATTCTTGTTTGCATGTTTGCAGATTTCTGGTCTTTTGCCTACAAAAAGAGGACCCTATGTAAAAACTTATTAAGGAAATGACCAATATCTTGGATGTAAAATTTTCTGCACACATGAATTTATGAAGTGAATATCTTATATAAAAAAATTTAAGAATATGTCATCAATTTGGTCTTATATAACTGTTTTCTAAATTTACTATGTCTTATTAACATTTGATAAAGTTAATAAGTCTTCTTTGAACATATAAATGTAAGTAATAAATTCAGTATATGTTATACCTTTAACCAAAGTGATGCATCTTAGAAAGCCATCAGCATATTCCTATATTGACATGGTAATTTGAAGATGCGGCTTTGTAATTGCATCAGCGTATTCGTGTATTGACATACTAATCCGACAAGCTTATATTGAAAATATATTTCACTGGTACAGAATTTGTAGAAATGTGTCCGCTATTGTTTATTTAACATACCTAGGGAACTTGTTTGCTAGTTAGCTTATTGGAGAATGCTTGTCATTTCAGGTTATTTGTATACTTTTAGCGCTTCCACTCTTGGCAAGCAATGGGACAAAGTAAGTGGTTCTATTTAGTGATTTTATATAAAAAATTTATCATGAATTTATAATATCACACAATGGTATATCAATTAAGTATACTACAGCATTGCCTTTACATACTTGATACTACACAAATAGCCGTAGCAGAACCTGACTGTTGAAGCAGATGAAAGATTTGCTGCTTTCTTATTCCATTGAAATGCTCAAGAAATTTAAAAAGTAAAGCTAGTGACTAGACCACAATTTTTGGGTCATCAACGGCACAGTTCTATCTTGAGATCCTTTTGTGACATTCCCTTACGAGATTCAATTATAAAGGTTTCATTTTGTGAAGATCTACATCACTGAAGCCTTCTTGTCTTACAGGATTAATTTATCGTTTCTTTTAAAACATCATTACATGAAGCATAAGATTTTGCCTTAAAGGACAGCACGGTGCACTAAGCTCCCGCTATGCGCACCAGGAAGGGTGGGACCACATCAAGAGGCTTACAACCCTTACCATTTCGTCAATGCTCCCCTTCCATAAGATTCTGCCTTCTTTACTTGATTTTTAGAAAAAAGAAAATATTCTGCCTTCTTAATAAAACTCTGTATTACCTTTCTCAAGATGCACATTTTTGGATTGACTCGATTTTGCTATACGCAACGATCAGCGGGTCTAATATGCCTTCTACCTCCTTTTGCCTTTTTCCTGTTTTCCCCTTTGATATTTATGCTATGTTGCAAATTTCATAGTATAGTCCTTACTTTGCAGATGGGGCCGTTCTTAGAAAAGTCGGTGGCATCTTTCCGACTTCTTCCTCCCACAGAAAGCTATGTTCCTCCGTACAAGGATCCCTGGAGGTTTTGGTGATTGTGTTGCGAGGTGTGGCTAGGGTTACTATTTTGTACCTGATAGCAAATAGTCAGAGATCCAAATGTGGTTAGCAAGTGAGAAATTACATTGCAGTTTTTTCTTTGATATCGAAAATATACTTCAAGCTAAGCTTGAGCTTGCAACCAGCGTGTGTTAAGCAATTTTGGCACGAAACTCGTGCCAATGCAGCCGCTACACGTTTGTGAGACAACATTGCAATTCTTGAATGCAATTTTGGTGCAATGATGACTACAAATTCTCTTAGAGGCTCTTTGCCTGCCAATAGATCATCTCCAGGCTTGAATTTTCTGCAAAATGCAGTTGCAGTTTTTCAAGTCTCTTTTGCTTTTGGATGGGAGGTTCTATTAGATGAAGAATATGAATGGCATTTGTAATATAGAGATGATATTTGGAGGACTTGTTTGTATTTTTCTGTCTATAGTGTAATTGCATGTTTCTCTGAAATGAAAATATATTTTTAAAAAATCTACTTATGTGCTTGAAGGTGCTTTTCTTCAGTTTATGTGCTTTGGGCAAACAAATTATACTAGTATTAATTTGAGCAGAATAAACATAATTGTTTGCTCAAAAAATGCGAGTACAAAACAATATAAATAAATCCCGGGATAATCATAGCAAATCGTAATAATCCGTTGGACCAGATGAAAGAAACTAAAATAAGAACTCAGAATTAGGGGGAGAAGCATTAGAAACCTTTATTGATAATATTTGTTTGGTCTGCCTCTCCATGAAGAGGTTCAGAGCCTTACAACGGTGTTTTCTCTTCCCATAAGAGGGGTATATTTTCTTGTTTCTCTCTCCTCTCACTAGTAGTGAAGAAGCAGCCCCCTTTCTAGGGCTTCCACTCTTAGTATTTATAGATGCGAGCTTCGTGAGCTGGCAATAAATGGCCGTGGCCACGCTGAGGTTCCGTCCCCATGGGGGAATGAATGGGCCGTGCCCTCGTAGATTAAGTCGGACAAGAGTCGAATCCTCTTATAAATAAGTGGCCATACCACTTATTAATTATGGATTAGCTCAAGACGAGATTAACTCCGTTAATTACCGTGAGGTCAGATCCTGACCCATACAATAATGCATCTCTAAAAATTCACTATACTACTCGTATCAAGAACTAATTCAGTTAGATTTATTGCTTTTTTGGCTTAAAAGCTGTTTATGCTGAAAATCCACTTTTTTTAAGCCAATCCAAATGCTCTTAATGTAACTAAGCATTTTTCTCATTACATGCATAGTAATATATAAAAACTATATGTGAATTTAGATCTAGACTACACATTTTAATCAGTGCTTCACTCACTTTTCCAGATTAGGACATATCGAAAAACCTTATTCTGAAGTTGATATTCTGATATTCGATTGCTTGTTAATACACACTTTAAAGTTTAAATGATTATAATTATAATCATAATGAAAATGAAAAAGAATCATTTGTATCATTTTCCAAATTATGTCAGTCCTGTTGTTTTAACCATATCAAGTCTAATTAAGCAAAATGTTTTATCCTATTGTGTGAATTTATTTCTTTCCTTTTCTAATGTATCCAAATGAGAGCCTTGGCGCAATGGTAAAAATTGTCATGACCACGTGGTCACGAGTTCAAGCCGCGAAAACATCCAGCAGGACTCAATGAGGTCTGGCCCCTTGAGAACCCCGCACATAGCGGGAGTTTAGTGTACTTGGCTGCGCTTTCTTCTAATGTAGCCGAATTGCTGGCAAAAATAATGTGGGTCTAAATGCCCCGGTTAGGAGGTGTGAGCAGTTGGCTGCAGGTATGAGAAGAGGTAGAGGGCGGCCTAAGAAGTATTGGGTCGAGGTGATCAGACAGGACATGACACGACTCCAGATTTCCGAGGACATGGCTCTAGATAGGAAGGTGTGGAGGTCGAGCATTAGGGTTGTAGGTTAAGGGGTAGTCGAGCATAAGGGTTGTAGGTTAAGGGGTAGTCGAGCGGTTGATTTATGTTGTGTTTCACACTTTTGCATAATATTTGTGGTACTGCTTTTCCATCTATTTGTTGTATCTCACGTTGCTGATATTATTTTTTCGGATTTTGTTGTCACAGATCTATTGTATCTGAGCCGAGGGTCTCTCGGAAACAACCTCTCTACACCCTCCGGGGTTAGGGGTAAGGTCTGCGTACACTTTACCCTCCCCAGACCTCACTAGGATTTTACTGGGTTGTTGTTGTTGGTTTGAAATCAAACAGGGGAATGCTTGCAGCTTGTCATAGTGACAGCAAAGAGAGAAGGGTTGGAGAAAGTATTGTCTTGGTTGCATCTACTCCTCTGAACCCAAAGTTCTGCTCACACCAGAAGATTGAACAAGGGCTTAGGGGTCAGTAAAGAGATGCTGCTATGGTGCTATGTATGTCCTTCAAGTCAAAATTATTTGAGATGAACAAAATGATAACAGTCATCTTGCATATATTTGAACCAAAAGTAAAATTTACAACCTATAAACATGCTCATCTGTTCCTTTTTTTGAGCAAAGAATAATGGAATTTACAACTAATTTACATCATTCTGATGCTGCATGAAATCTGCTTTACTAGTAGTTTGCTAGTGGGTGACAAGGTGAGTGAAGTTATTTGTTCTAGATTCCTAGGCTCCTATAACAAGATCCAAGTATGTACAATGTTGAAAACCTAAGCTTAGTCTTGTGATGTTGTTGAATATTCGAATAGAAGACGTTTCGATGGAGTAGACTGTAAAAGCACCCGGAGCCGGCTTGTGAGCTGATATATCAAAGTCCATTGCATTGCCATCTCAGAGTCCTTCATCTGCCTTACTACAGAGGCCTGGAAAGCAGAGTGGAAATGTCTTGGTTAATGATAAATTGGTAGAATCAATCAACATAAAACTGAGTATGACTTAAAATAGAATATTTGCAGATAAAAGGGCATTTACAATATTATCCCAGAGTATGATTAACATGATGTTCCCCAACTATTACACTTGTCAACCCAATGCCAGAAAAAGCAGCACGAACGACCAGAAGATGTTAAGAACATACTTTTAATGCCCCCCCCCCCCCCCCCCCAATGCAACGTTAAGTTCAAGTGATTCCACAAAAAAACACTAGAACTGAATGATGAATTAGCTATTCAGGCTTTCTTTGCTCATTGTCTATCAGCTTAAGAATTTGGAGTATGACAGCTTCGTAGATAATCATAATCCTACAACTACTAGGTGTGCTGCTTTTGCCATGTGAACAGCTAGAAACATGTGACGGTATATGTTTCAAAGTTTCATTGTACTCAAAAGTCATTTGATAACCTTTCTACTAAATGAAATCTAAAAATATATAGTTCATCTACCTCCTCTAGTTTGGACTAGATTGAATATACAGTGAATAATTAATTTGTTCTGTCATAAGTTTTGCTCATCATTTAAAAGAGAAATTTATTCTATTAAAGGTTCTATTTGTGTCCTAAAAAAAGGACTCAAAGGAATCAGTTTTTTCATGATGTCCAGAACAGAAGTTTATAGTTTCATTTACTTTCACATCAAAATCATCTTTAATTGGACCAGTGGCCTCCACTTATGATGCATACAGCATCCATCTTCTGAATTCTCAACAATGTTCATGCTAATGTAATGTATCTTGAATTATAAAATCATTTATGAAAAGATCTAGCACAGAATCCACTGATCGGCAAACTCAGAAATGGAAAGAAGAAAGAATAATTCTAACCTGGAGGCGTTTCCCTAGTTGAACTTCAACCTCTGTACCAAATGAAATATTGCTGGCCAGAGACTTTAGAGGATCAACACTGGGATCAACAGAAAGCAAGTTGGGGATCTGTGGTGCATAAACTAGCCTCCATCTGGCCTGCCCAAACTCTCCTTTCCCCTCTATTCTTGGCATCAATGTTTCAAGTGTTGCAGTGGCAAGCTTCTTAAAAGCAAGCTGGCCATCACCTTCTAAAATGGATTCAGCTAATTGACTCTCGAAAACTCTAGCAGCCTGTTCAGCCAGAGCCGTTTTAAGTTAGTTTAGCCATGTACCAATACATCTCTCGAGCCATTTAAACTGAAAAATTTAATTGTACATATAGATATTTGTAATTTTATTCTGCAGTTTATTCTTCCCAAAAGCATTAGATATTTGAACTCAAGTATTCAGCAGCGCAGGTAAAACATGAAAGCATGGCTGGATGGAAGGATATTGGCATGTTCATTCATTTAAGATCCACCAGCAACGCATGCCAAAGTAATATGATTCTTTAGCTTGCTGTAAAATAAACCACTAGAAAAATTGCTTTTGTTTCCCTCCCTCCCAACCCCTTTCCAACTCATTCTTGTGGAAGCATGCTCGTCTATTTAACCTTTGCGAAATTAAGATTGTCAGCATCCAATTAAATAAATTTCTAAATAATTTAACGTACAAAGTCCGCCAGCTTTTCAGTGTTGAATTATTAGATTGATTGTGCATTAAGAAAACATTGGCATCAAAGTGACAACCTCAGTAGGTGACAAGACATCTTGCTCCACAGAACGCGTTGATGTGACCACTAAATTATCCTGCCATTTGCTAGCACGACTTTGTATCCTGAATTGCCACTCTGATCCAACCAAAGCCAAGTCTAGCGTTGGATCAAGTCCATTATCAGGCTCAAATTTGGCTATGTTTAGATGATCTCGCTTCAGTCTCACCTGGATTTGAAGACAATAAAGATATCAGATGAAGAGAAAATGGAATCTCAGAATTACACAAGGAGCCTACACCCACCCAAGAACAAAAGAAAAATAAAAAAGAGACAAAATCAACTCAGAACCTGCTAGGACGAGAAAAGAGTTCAAAAAGTTTAACCTGTGTTGCAACAAGATTGACATCTCCATTCTCAAACATTAATATGCCTTTAGGCTTTATCCACTTGGGATGAGCAACACCATTTAACTCAAGTTCTCCACTGACAGCAAAATTGAGAATTAAAGGATAAACTATCCTCAGTTCTGGTCCCAGAACAAGTTTCAGGTCACTGAGGCGGATATCCAGCTTGGGTTTGCTCTCTACTTGGACGCTTTCCTTAATATCTTCAGCATCTTTACCTGCATATTACAAAAATTGGAAACATTCGTGATAATGAACCCAGCAATATCACCTCATCTTAAGCAAGAAAGTGAAAAAGCCATAGGCAGCTGCTGGACCATTTGATATCAAGTTTTGACGCCACAACACGTGAAAATATTCGCCATTTTCTTCAAAACCAAACCAAAACACCTTGGGAAATTGAGACACCAGTATATCTTAGAACATAGTTTTCGAAACCAAAGGTGGTCAGCTCCAAAACCAACTAGGATAACCCAGTTGGTCTGTGAGATTCTCGGTATTAGTTTCTGATTTCCAAAATTTTGAATTTGGTCCCGTTTCTTTTTTTTTCTTCAATTAGGCTTTCACATTTATAAACTGAATTTTCTTTTGCTTACAGGATGCACGAGCCTTGTAGCTGAACAGCCCTTCTCCTTTTTCCTATTCAGCTATTCAAATACAGTTTTTTTAAGCAAATAGAAATATTTTCTGATCTTTCTCATAACGTGTAACATATGAAAGCGTCTACAACACTTTAAGGTATTAGTGATAAATTTAAAAAAAATTATAACCAAAATCCAAACATGACAGTTATCCAAAACCAAAAATCCAAACAAGACTGTTTCCCAGAAACAAACATAAACTGACTCTTTTAAAACCACCTCCGAAACCAGACATTGATGTAGCTAGTCAGTAATAACTAGAGTCTCTAAGAGCTTTTATACGTGTTCTGTTGTGAAAGTGACTATTCGAATTGAATGTTCTCCATGAGCAAAAGAGAAGAATTTGGATTTCACATAAATGCTAAATCTAGCAAATATTATTACCCAAAAATCAAGCATTTAAGAAGCACTACAACCGTTAAGATCAATGAATTGCGTTTAACAGTACCTTCTGCAAAGCATCAGACACAGATAAGTCGACCCTTAATAGGTTATATATGGACTGTTACCAATAGCAAAAACAACTATACTTCAATCACAAAATAATTGGGTTGGAAATATGAATCCTCTATATCCATTCCGCTCCATTTGGGTATGTTAGTGACAACCTCCATGTTTAGGAAGAAAAAAAATAGTCACACGGCCCTTTCCAACACTTGGCCTCATTTTCTAATGCTCTTTATGGTCCTATACACTCCCTTTACAAACTAACCTTTTCTTTAAATTTTTTTTTTATAACTACAAAAATAACTGTGGCAGATGCACAAAATCTGACCTTCTTTAACTAACAGCAATTAGCATGTATTTTCATTTATAGGATTGTTAAAGACTCGATTGGAATATGCTCAAGTCCTGAAGCTCAGTAACCAGGTCATGTGTTTTGCCTCACTTAGGTGGCGCTAAGGTGCTGTGTCGTGTCCCTCGCTACCCATGGACCCTGTCTTTAAGAAGGTGACACCAGACAATAAACACAGTTCGTAAACTGATATATTAATAGTTAAGAAGACACTGTGGATGAAGTATTGGTCACTAGGAATTATGAAACTAAATATTTAGCATAAGAAACTCACCCATCATTTTATTTAAATAAAAAATTTAAAATAGTTTTTTAACTTAGTCTATTTCACCCAATTGTAGTTTTTTAATTTTAAAATCCTTTTCCCAAATAATCATTGTTTGTGTTTTAAGTTATTTTGTTGCATTAGTGCATTATATAACTATATTTTTTTCTCTTCATTAGCGCCTTTTGTCACTAAAGCCCACGCTTTAATTCCAGCGTGTGCTTGTCCCAATGTACTTTGGTGCTTTTCTACGCTTTTTGCTTTTGACTACTGCTGTAATTATGTAGAAAATTATAATAACTAAATCTGCAAGGATATAATTCTTATACTTGAAATCGAGCACCAAAAAGACTCTTATACTTGAAACGTGGTAATTCTATCTATTATTCGCTTTCATTTTTGGGAGCTGTTGCAACTGGTCCACTCAAGTCATGAATCATGGAAAAAGGAATTTGATCTCAAAGTCAAAATCCCTTTATGACAATGATGTGGGAGCATGGATGTGCTTAAAATGAACAGCTCATAGAACTTTCAAACTTTAAAGAGAGCAAAACCAAATTGAGATAAAATAGAAGCTAAAAGAAATAGAGCTGAAAAAGATGAAGAAGACTGATTTTTTATTTTTGGAGAAGGGGGAAGGACAATCCAATTGTAGAGTTCCGGCTCATCCACTGCACATCCATGCAAGGATATATTTTTTGTTGTTAACAAATGATATATACATGTCTTCATTTTTCCAAAACAGCAAGCCGTTTTGATATCTGGTTCTCCATTCCACAAACTAACATCAAACAGGCTCTCATCAAGCATGACACGATATATATATATATATATACACACACACACTCCCTTTTTCTTTTCTCTTCCCTCTTTCTCCCTTTCTTGCTTTCCTCTTCTTCTTATTACCCTTCCTAAGCCGAGGGTCTATTGGAAACAGCCTCTCTACTTGTTAGGTAGGGGTAAGATCTGTGTATAGACTACCCTCCCCAGAACCCACCTGGTGGGAACATACTGGGTTTGTTGTTGTTATATATATATAAAATTACAATACTAGTTAGCTCGGGCTCAGCCCAAGGGCAATTAGTTAATGCACACCGAATCATGCTAAACAGTGTGAGCTAATGTTAAAAAAAGCTTTAGTTTGACAAATCATCAAGTTGACAATCAAAAAGCAATGAAGTACCTACCGACGTAAATAGAACATCTGGTTCAAGCAAACAGCCTGAACTCAACCAGGTTGCTCGAGCAAATTGATGAAGAAACCTAACTATAAAGACTAAAGTTCATACTGAAATTACCTGAAGATTGATTGAACTGAATGCTTGAAGCAGCAGGCTTTAAACTGAGGAAGCGCGAAACATACTTTGATGCAACTATACGATTGTAACCTCCGGCTGGAAGTCTTGATTGATCGGATGTCTCTCTATTGAAAGGAGCTGTTCCACTACCCTTGTCGTGTGGCAGGTATGCTTCACCATGACTCAGCTTCATCTTCCCGGAAATGTTTGGTTGCAATATGGACCCACTTATTTGCAATTGAGTATCAACTTGCCCGCTTTTATTTCAGAGATCAAGTTTTAGAAGAAAAGAAGAGATGAGCATGTTTTGCTTGAGCTAAGAAATTCAAAAAGGAAAATAACTGAAGAATATAGGAAAGGTGGAATGTAAAATGCAGTACAAGCAGTGTAATGTATACATAGATTAATCAGGAAAGCAGGAAATGGTTTTTAAAAAGAAAACTCCAAAATAAGGTGAGCAAAGGAAATACTCTATGTCGTTTAAAACAAAGACTTGAGAAGATGGAAGAGTGACTTGAAGCAGAGAGAAAGCAAGTCAACAGGCTGAAAAGTGAGCCAGGAGTAGCGAGAGAATTGACTCAATAAGTTAAAGACTGAGCCACTAGCAAAATTAGTGGCTTGACGAGCTAAATTGAGAGAGGAAATCCATAGAGATTCGTTGGGCTTGAATTGAGAATGAGAAGTTCTGTTAAGTGCCCACATTGGTTGATGGAATGGATTATTGTCTCCTAATACGATTTTGGGCAATCCTCACCTCACGAGCTAACTTTTGCAGTTGAGTTAGACCTATGGTCCATTTCTTAACATGGTATTAGAGCCAGAACCAACCATATTCTTGATTTAGACAAAGTTGGACCCCAATGTTACATTGTTTAAGATACATGCAAACCCAAAACCCTAAACCATATATCTTCAACGCACCCTCTCACGTGAGGACTTAATTCTTATCATGGCTCATGCACACCTATTTTTTAACTAAGGATGACAATGGTATTTAGATAGGACCTCTGCTTGGCTCTAGTACAAATTGAAAGAATCAGAGCATCCAATCTATACGTTAAGGTAATGGGTAGAGTAGCCCATTACCATTATAAACCCCTTTGATAATGTTATACTGAGGGAAAACTATTCTCTAACAAGATGAAAAAGGAAAAAAGCTCCATGTGTCTTAGAAATTAGAGATGCAACCAGTGCCTCAACCAACTTTAACAATTTGCTTGTTAATGCACCTAGACAGATGAAACACACAGAATCCTGCATAGTAACACATTTAAATATTTCCTATAGATAAATGCACATAAAATATACCTCAAGATATTCTTAGCTCGTACTTCCAGAACTTCACATTTCAAATCAATTTTATCACAATCAGATGCCTCAACTGTTCTGAGTGGCAAATTTCCCTTCACGGAAAGTTTTCCTTTTCTGCTTACCCTACCTTCCAATGAACTAATACTTAGTCTATTTGAGTTCACTAGAACTGAGCCACCAAAGTTGGTCAGAGGTTTACGAAATACAGGTGAAGATACAGTCGCCCTATGGAAAGATGCAGATCCATCGAGTACCGGTTGTTCAACGGTACCTCTAACCTGTTTGTTTGAACAAGTGACGTATATCAGCACTAAGAGAAAGGGAACCAGATACATAATAAAGAGCAACTCCCAATTTTCTCTCTCTCTTTTTTTTTCTTTCTTCTTTTTTATTTTTTTGAAAATCAACTTTTACCCAACTTGAAATAGTCTGTTCTTCACACTTCCATTTTGACATTTCTGCATGTAATCTTACAATCAAGTGACCCTACCTGAAGCACAACTTCAGCATTTCCATGGAGCCAGTTTGCATATGGAGACAAAGCCGTCAACAACATCATGCCAGAGTCTTTAATATCAGCATCAATCCTGACTTCCCCGGCATCAAGTAGGTTCCAGTTCAACCCCTTAAGGTTTTCAGCTAGCTGAGTGTCCCAACCCTCCTCATTTCTCTCTCTGGAGCTTCTTTTATCACTAGCTTCATCAACAGGCGCTTTGCTCTTCTCCGCACCCCAACTCCGAACCCACGATGCTTCACTTTTGTCCCTTTCTGAATTATCTTCCTCCAGAACATTATTTTGGACAAAGGTCACAGGAACACTTCCTTGAACGTGTACATGACCATTTTGGATGATTGGTTCAAATTTTGCATTGAACAGAAAACGGCTGGTTGGGGTTAGTGAAGCAACAATTTCAGCTCGACCAAGCTCAATACCCCCAATGGCACCATCTAGGAGCCTTACTTGTACATCACATTCTGGTTTAGCAAGATTTCCTCTAAGATCACCTTCCATATGCAATATGCCTCTTATTGGAGACAGAAATTGCCGCAAAGAATGAACTGCTTCAGTGGCCGTTGATTCAATAACCTGAACCAATGTAGGAACTAAACTAACAGGAAAGTTTAGAACAGCAAAATGTAGGTTAGTCTTTGCTCCAAAGAGAGTTCCATCTGCATGTATCGTGGCATTATCCTTTTGAATAAAGATTCTCTCAAGACGCAAACCATCATCATTGCTGTATGCACCAGCTGCCAGAACACGCTGAGTCTTATAAGCACCCCATTCCCATTCCTCCCCATGAAAGTCGAACTCGGCCTAGAAGTTACAGAAATCAGGACAAAAAGTTGACAATAAGAAGCAACCTGGAAGTATATTGTTCAAATATCTTATGCTGTATTGTGGGCATTAAAATCATTTAAAAAGGCTATAGCTACATATCAACTAATCCCTCCGTTCCAATTTATGTGAACATGTTTGACTGGGCACGGAGTTTAAGAAAAAACGAAGACTTTTGGAATTTGTGGTGCTAAACAAGTTAAAAAGGGGCCCAGAGTATTTGTGTGGTTATAAAAGCTTCTCATTAAGGGTAGAATTGTAAGTTTAAGTTAAATTGCTTCCAAATTTAGAAAGGGGTCATTCTTTTTGGAACGGGCCAAAAAGGAAATAGGTTCACATAAACTGGAACGGAGGGAGTACATGTTTCCTGAATTTCGCAATCCTACTTAAACGAAAATATCTTCAAGGGGAGCCTTGGTGTAACTGCCATGTGACCAAGAGATCACAGGTTCGAGCCGTGGAAACAGTCTCTTGCATAAATGCAGGGTAAGGCTGCGTACAATAGACCATTGTGGTCCCGCGCTTTCCCGGACCCTGCACATATCGGGAGCTTAGTGCATTGGGCTGCCCTTATTTTTACTTAAAAGAAAATATCTGAGAGGTTTGGCACTGTTTCCAGAGGAATAGGCTCCATAACTGTCACAACAAAGGATGGAGTCCATAGCCCACCCTAATAAAAAATATATCAGGTGGGGAGGCAATTAGGTTGGAATATTTGCATGTAATACAACCAGCAAACAGGAAGGCTAAGGGCACAAGTGTAGAATCAAAATAAAGAAGCAAGGATTTGCATGCAAATTAAGGATGGAACCAGAATATATTCAGCTAAACAACCAGCTCAAACTTAAATTTAACACAAAATCAAAATGCTACAGCATAATAACTTTGAGCAGACATCACTTTGGAAACAGACTGAATTGCACTATTCTAATGAGTTTTGTGGCCTTAATTAAGGTGGGAAACAATATATTGCAATGCAAAGACAAGCAGGTATTCCATATCAGAGTACCATGACTGAAATGTAGACTTATTTTACCATTGTGTCTCCGTTTCCTCCACCACTTGCGTCTAATGAGCCACTCCAGTGACCCTTAAGTTCAGCTAAACCAGGAAGATTGAACTCTTCAAGGATAACTTCATCTGAGAGAGTAGAATGACCCCGAATTTCCTATGTTTTTTGCCATCAGGAAATGGTAAAGCTGGTCTTAATAAAATTTCTATTAACTGAAAATCCAAGAGTAGCAGAATTAGCAAAAGTTTCCAAAATCTACATGGTATTTTTCCGATAAGTACCTCGAGCAGCTTCTGGAGGCTTTCAGTATACAATCCGATTGAATGCAAACTTTGGATGAAGAGGTCCTACAAGCAAGTAAAAAAGAGGGTTAAAATTTGTTTTTAGTGGAAATCATTATTTGTATTTAGTGGAAATCACTCTGCAACCAATTCCATGCCCTCCAATCCTGCCTTTTTTCATTATTTTTTTATGAGAAACAGATAATTTCATTATTTCGTAATTTCATTACCTTTGACCTTGATTGAACAGCAGGGTCAGAACTTCGAGAGAGAAGCCTTGCAAGCGGAAGCATCTCAGCAATCTCAGCTTTTGGAACCTCAAGCCTCATTCTCCATCTACCCATGGAGGATATAACGCTACCCAGATGTCCAGTCATTGCTCGGTGAAACAAATTACCTCTCTCCTGGCCAGATGGCATCCGATCTCGTGTGCCTGGCAGTACATATTCACCTTGAAGCTCATATTTACTATTGCTTTGCTCCAAAATGGACTTCTCAATGGTGATCTAAGAAACAAGGTATCAACCAAAAAACATTGTCAATTGCATTACTAAAACTTAGTACTGGTAAAACCTTAATCATGATACTGAAATAGACAACGGATTTGTCATTCTCCATCAGTAATAAAAACAGCACATATAAGAATATGCATTCCATAAACCACACCATAACACAACTGAATGGATTTATCCCCTTTTTAAATAGAAGAAAGCAGACAATTTTCTGTTGTCATTGAAATAGTCATTTTGAGCAAAGATATGATATATATTAGTACATCAATCAGAGGTGGACCTACTCATAGGGTAGAGGGGTCACCACCCCAGTAATCTCGGAAAAATGTATGTGTATATATATATATATATATATATTTGGTTGGCACTCCAACTCACGTTGGGCAGCTGCATCGGTTTGTTTGGGGTGCACTGATTGACCTTTAGCAGGCTAACTTGGGTTCAATTCCCATTGCGGCATTCGCCAATTTTTTTTTCTTTGTAGCAATTAATTGATATGTTTATGTTAAAAATAGTGGTGCCTCCACCACTTTCAAATTGGGTCCGCCTCTGACATCTATGAACTAACACTTAATTATAATCGCCCCATGATTTAGGACATTTAAGCTTCAAGCCTTTTTTTTTGATGAAGTAATACGTTTCATTAAGAAGGCATCAAGAAGATGCAAAGTTACAAGAGGCATATGTGCTAAATAAACAAAAAAATACAGGAGAACAATGTTTGCCCCAAAACAAAGTCTCAATCTAGGACAAGAGAGCTAAAAAAGTCCAACATATGTCCTGTACTATTTACGGGGAACAACTTTGTCCTGCAAAAAAGGTTGAGCAGGCATTTAGATTTGAGTAAGTGGTTTGGGGTTGAGGTGCCATCAAAGCATCTTCTATTCTTCTTGTTCCATAAACACCAAAAAACAGTTGCAGGGATCATAAGCCAGATCTTCTTGATGACCTTATCAACCTCCCAAAGACTTCACTCATATGTGCCTCTCTCAGGCTCTGTGGCATGATCCAGCTTAGGCCAAAAATACAAAAGAACATGTTCTATAGGTCTCTGGCTACTGGGCAGTGAAGTAGGTGATTAACTGTTTCCTGGTGTCTCCTGCAAAGGTAACATCTGTTGACCGGCTGAAATCCCCTTCCGCATAGGTTATCTTGTGCTAAGCAGGCTTCGTGAAGGGCAATCAAGTTGAAGCATGTCACCTTCACATGTAATTTTGTCCTCCATATCAGTTTCAAAGGCCATGAATGCAATACCTGATTCTGATTGTTAAGTTGCCTATAGCAATCTTTAACAGTATAAAGACCTTTACAGCCCCATCTCATGTTGTCCGGAACATTCTCATCAAATTTGTAGGCCTCTAATCTTGCTAGCATTTCCATCAAGTCTTCTATCTCCTAGTCGTGAACAGATCTCCTGAGATGCACATCCCGATTATCATTTGCCCTGTTATGAGGAATTGAAGAATTCTTGTCCAAGGCAATGTTGAATAAGCTAGGATAGTCCTCCATGAGAGCAGTGTTGTTTAGCCATTTATCCTTCCAAAACTTAATATGACTTTCAGTGTCTGGCTTGAAATGAATATTCGGAAAAAATTCGTTCCCCAGTTTGCTAATATACTTCCGGGGTCCTACTCCATGGGATGCACTGACAGTTTTGGTGCTCCAATTGTCTTTTTTTTTTTTTTTGATTTTGCACCGGGTGTCCGAGTCTCTAAGCGCCCCGACTAATCCCGGGGGTGCACAGGCTCTCGGCAAGGAGTTTCCCGCAAGTGCACCACGGTTAATTCAGGTTTTACCCAGTCCGATGGCCCTCAGAAAAATTGTTTGCACCCAGTGGGTTTCGAACTTGAGACCTTGAAAGGGAGCAAACCCCAAGGCTCAAGTCTATTGCCACCAGGCCAACCCCTGAGGGTTATGGTGCTCCAATTGTCTTTAATCCCATGTTTTGCATTGATCACATCTTTCCATAGACTTGATTCACATGTGACATCTCCAGAGCCATTTCATTAGCAAACCTTTATTGTGCTTGTCTAGATCTCTGAACCCAGTCCACCTTTGCATTTAGGTTGCAAGACCTTATCCCATTTAATCAAGTGATACTTGTGAGAGCTGCTATTTCATTCCCATAGAAAGCCCCTCCTGATCTTGTCCAGCCTTTTAAGTACCTTTTTAGGGATGGGAAACAGTGACATGAAATAAGTGGGTACACTGTCAAGCACACTACTGATGAGAGTGAGTCTTCCTCCCATAGAGAGGGGTATTGTTGTTGCCATGAAGCCAGTCTTTTCTCAAAATTCTCCACTACACCATTCCAGATATCACAGCTTTTAAATTTAGCTCCCAGTGGAAGATCCAAATAGGTAGTAGGCAATGACCCTATGCTGCAACCGATGATCCCTGCCAGCGCCTTAATGTTGCTCACCCGATTGGCTGCATATATAATACTTTTCTGCTAGTTGATGTGAAGTCCTAATAATGCTTCGAATAGCTGGAGTGTAAGATTCATGTACATGATTTGGAATCTATCTGCCTCACAAAAGATTAGTGAGTCATCAACATATAATAAATGGGAGATAGTGACCGAGTTTCAAGTGTTTGTGCCTACACTGAATCCTTGAATCCATTGCATTTGTCTGGCTTTTTCCATCATTTTACTTAAACTCTCCATGGCTAGCATGAATAGGAAGGGGGGAAGAGGATCCCCTAGCCTAATTCCTTTCTGAGGAGAAAAGAAACCAACAGGACCTCCTGTATCTGATCCACTTTAACCATTTGTCTCCAAACCCCATTTTCCTCAAAATAGATAGCAAGTAAGACCAGTTTAATTGATCAAATGCCTTTTATATATCCAGTTTACACATAACACCAGGTGTGTCAGTTTTAAGCCTCCAGTCCAGCACTTCATTAGCAATGAAAGTTGCATCAGTAATCTGTTTGTATTTAATGAAAGCATTTTGACGAGAGAAACCAGCTTCCCAATCACCTTTTTCAATCTCTCTGCTAACACCTTGGCCACAATCATATAAACACTACCAATAAGGCTTATTGGTCTGTAGTCCCTAAGCTCAATAGCTCCCTTCTTCTTAGGTATCAAGGCAATGAAAGAGGCATTGCATGATCTTTCCATGTAAGAGTGCTCATGGAAATGATTTAGTGCTGCCATAATCTCTGGTTTGATGAAATCCCATGACTTCTGAAAGAAGGCCATATTAAAGCCATCTGGACCTGGGGCTTTATTAGGGGACATGATTGAATGATAGCATAAACTTCATCTTCCTCAAAAGTCAACCTTTTTCAAGCAGCTCACTTTCCTCCTCTGATAGTCTGGCAACATCTTCAAAGTTGGAAGATGGTCTCCACTCTTCATTCTCTGTGTAAAGAGATTGGTAATAGTTTAATATCTTCCCCTTGATCAATTCTTTATCTTCTGTAATCTCATTGTTTATCTTGAGCTTGTCAATTGAGTTGCATCTCCTATGAGAGTTGGCCAAAGTCTGAAAGTATTTAGTGTTCCAGTCCCCTTCTTTTAACCATAAGCATCTAGATTTTTGCCTCCAAGAGATTTCTTCAGCTTTAGCAATCTTTTCCAACTCCATTCTTAAAGTCAGAAACCTTTGTATTTCTGCTTGAGTTGGAGCTCTGCTTTCAGTTGCTTGTTCTAAGGCTAAGAGTTCATCAAGAGCCCTGCTTCTCTTAGTGTCTAGCATGCCATAAACTTCTTTGTTCCATTTGGAGATGTCCTTCTTCAAGCTCCTCAACTTCTGAATTAGCACAAAGTCTCGGGTGCCACTTATTGTGTAATTTTGCCACCACCCTTTCACCATATCAATGAATTCCTCTCTTTGAAGCCACATGTTCTCGAATTTAAAGTAAGATGTCGTTGAGTCCCATTCTCCACTTTCTAGCAATAAAGGTTTGTGATGCGAGATGACTCTTGAGAGTACTAGTTGCTTGATGGCTCTAAAACTTTCATTCCATTCTGTGGAGACCAAGAACCTGTCAGTACTTGAGGCTTGGAAAATATCCTCCCCTCTTGACCAGGTGTATTGGGCTCCATGTAAAGGCAAATCCATTAGCTGTATGAGAGAAGCATCTCATAGCTTTGGTCCTTCTATAACAGTTCAATCTTTCAGATTCATATATACTGTGAGAATGCACGGGAGAAAATATTATTGGTTAATGTTGACAATGATACAATGAGCCCTATATATATATATAATACATGTCTTACTCCTAATACATATGGGATTAGGGTTATTTACTACTATTTAACTATCAAACTAACACTCCCCCTCAAGCTGGTGCATATAAATCATATGTACCGAGCTTGTTACATATATAACTAATACGAGGACCAGTGAGGGACTTGGTGAAAATATCAGCAAGCTGATCATTCGACTTCACAAATTTTGTAGCAATATCTCCCAAGAGTATCTTTTCTCTAACAAAGTGACAGTCAATCTCGATGTGTTTGGTTCTCTCATGGAACATTGGATTTGACGCAATATGAAGAGCAGCTTGATTATCACACACAAGTCTCATCTGACTAATCTCACCAAATTTCAATTCCTTGAGCAACTGTTTGATCCAAATTAGCTCACATGTGGCCATAGCCATTGCTCGATATTCTGCTTCTGCACTAGACCGAGCAACCACATTCTGTTTCTTGCTCTTCCAGGACACCAAATTTCCTCCTACCAAGACACAATATCCAGACGTAGAACGTCTATCAGAAGGTGATCCTGCCCAATCAGCATCTGAGTATCCAACGATCTGCTCATGGCCTCGACCCTCAAACAATAAACCTTTGCCTGGAGCTGCTTTTATATACCGAAGAATGCGAACAACTGCATCCCAATGACTATCACACGGAGAATCCATAAACTGACTCACAACACTCACAGAAAAGGAAATGTCAGGTCTTGTCACTGTAAGGTAATTTAATTTACCAACCAACCGTCTATATCTTGCAGGATCGCTAAGAGGCTCCCCCT